AACGCTGTTCGTGTGGGGCAGAGCTCGCACTATGCGATGTGGTTGGTGTATATATATATATATATATATATATATATAACATCTCTCTCTCTCTCTCTTCTCTCTCCTCTCTCTCTCTCCTCTCCTCTCTCTATCCTATCTCTCTCTCCTCTCTCTCTCTCTCTCCTCTCTCGTATCTTCTCTCTCTCTCTACTCTCTCTCTCTCTCTATCTCTCTCTCTCTCTCTCTCTCTTACTCTCTCTTCTCTCTTCTCCCTCTTATTCTCTCTCTCTCTCTCTTCTCTCTCTCTCGTCTCTCTCTCTGCTCTCTCCTCTCTCTCTCTCTCTCTCTCTTCTCTCTCTTCTCTCTCTCTCTCTCTTCTCTCTATCCTCTTCTCTTCTATTCTCTCTCTCTCTCTCTCTCTCTCTACTCTTCTCTCTCTCTCTCTTCTCTCTCTCTTCTCCTCTCTCTCTCTCTCTCTCCTCTCTCTCTCTTCTCTCTCCTCTCTCTCTCTCTCTCTCCTCTCTCTCCTCTCTCTCTCTCTCTCTCTCTCTCTCTATCTCTCTCTCTCTCTCCTCTCTCTATCTCCTCTCTCTATCTTCTCCTCTCTCTCTCCTCTCTCTCTCTCTTCTCTCTCTCTCTCTTATCTCTCTCTCTCTCTCCTCTCTCTCTCTCTCTCTCTCTTCCTCTCTCTCTCCTTTCTTCTCTCTCTCTCCTCTCTATCTCTCTCTCTCTCTCTCTCTCTATCTCTCTCTGCTCTCTTCCTTCTTCTCTCTACTCTTCTCTCCTCATCCCTCTCTCTCTCTCTCTCTCTTCTCCTCTCTCTCTTCCTCTCTCTCTCTCTCTCCTCTCTCTCCCTCTCTCTCTCTCTCTCTCTCTCTCTCTCTCTCTCTCTCTCTCTCTCTCTCTCTCTCTCTCTCTCTCTCTCTCTCTCTCTCTCTCTCTCTCTCTCTCTCTCTTCTCTCTCTCTCTCTCTGCACATATATACACATATATACGGATGCATGTATATGCATGTGTATATATACCTCAAAACCCTATGCACATGAATACCTAAGACAGATATGTATGTATGTATATACATGTGCATATATATACATATATATATATATATATATATATATATATATATATATATATATATGTGTATATATATGCATATATATATATATATATATATATATATATATATATATATATATATATATATGTGTATATACATATGCATATATATATATATATATATATATATATGTATATATATGCATATATATATATATATATATATATATACAGATGTATTGTGGCATTTTCAGCGATGTTATAGAACGGGCATTCAAAATCTGAAAATGTCTGAGTTTATGTGCCGGGTTAGTGGCCCCTTGATTGAAATTCGATCAAAGTTCATGATTCCCCGCGGCTAAAGCCAGCAAACAATGACCAAAAAAGGTAGCCTTAAGCAGCGGTCTAGTTTCCTCTTCAGCAGGGGACTTCGGCCCCCCTCCCCTAACTTTTGGAAGAAAGTGAGCCAAATCTGGGAAAATCCTGTTTGTTGGCATAGTTCGCGGTGCGTAAAGACTTCTCATTTGGTGAAACTTCGCCCCTGGTCTCATTTTTGGTTTATTGAAGTGGCATGGAATGACTCATTAGATCATAAAACTATAAGTCAACACCAATCACTTTGTAAATGTGCGTACTGCACAGCTCGGTCTTTGAAACTGAACCCGGACCTTTGCCATTACCAAACCACCGATCCAAATCCAGCGATGTTGAAACGTTCTCATTATTGAATTCCGACTTTCCAAATTTGTCTACTTGACTTGATTCTGCCACTTTAGCTCTAATAAGTCGATGGTTATAATCCGCTATGCCTGTCGGTCTTCCGTAAGTTTTTGAAATGTTCATTTCCTGCCTGTCTGCTGTCGTGGACGAACGCTGAAACCCACGACGTGTGCTTGAAATTCTGAGCACATGAGCACAAAATGGGGAGGGAAGCGGCCGGGGTCATGGCGAGTCTAGAAAAACTCATCACACTGGGCTACAACTTTCTGTCAAAGCCTATCTAGAGCATTAACACCCGCTCCGGTGGGGTTCAAATTTACCCCTCCGAATGTTTTTTCCCCGAATAAATTCCCAATGGCGCAGCGTAGCCGCACCAAATTTTGCACAGCTGTAGACAATTGAAAAGTAAATAGTTTGATACAAAAAACTTCGATGCACCTCGTAAGGTTTTTGACCAACGGCAGATTAGTCAGGCCGTAGATCTAGCGAGGACAATTTCTAGGGAATGGTTCAATCTGATGCAACAACAGAGTGTTGAACGAATCCATACATCTCTGAGATAGTTTCTTAGGCGACACAACAGTCGAATGAACAAATTTCATTGACCTCGGGTCAGATATTTCTTAGTATATCAAAGGCGAACCAAAGTCGAAACAAACCTGCTTTGTTGCTCTAGAGCTTGCTGTATGGCATAGTTTCTAGTGTTAATTTGAACTTTATCAAGAACGGAAACCGCATTATGCATCTTCCACGGGCTTCTCAAACGTCTGAAGGTGTCACTGACTTAACATGTCCAGGTCAGCGTTTGTTTTTAGGAAGACACCGCCTAGCGTTATATTTTCTGCATATTCAAATGCAAAAATCAAGGTCTTGTATGATTTCCGTCACCATGACCTTAGAAAGGTCAAAAAGGCTACTAGCCTTAAAAATGCACTGGTAGCATTCTGCTTAGGACAGGTATCTAGGGTCTGAGGCAGTTTGGACACAAATCTGGAGTTTGACCATGCTTGACCTTATTTGATCCAAACTTTACGACTTAAGACTTTCCAATCTTGACACGAGTGAGTTCATGTACAGATAAACACGCCTTGTGAATTTGATGTACCTAGCTCTCTTACTTCAGAGATCCCAGTGGGTCAAAATGACTCCTCACCCGAACGAATGGCATTCAACCGGTCACCCGGACGCGTGTTAAAAGAGAGCAGGCCAGCCTGGACATGATTGTGATGTGTATATGGCATGGGGATCGAGATGGGGATGTAGGTCAGATTGGAATCTCAGGGACAGCATGACCCTGGGACGAAAGCAGGATTTTGAGAAGTAGGACGATGCAGAGCATTCTTGCCAAATAACCACTTAGGCGTGCCGCAGACGCCAGAAATGTGTTACATGAAGCAAAACAACATTGCGTGCTGGCAGTCTACTTATATGTACATGTCGTCGCTTTTTGTGTTGACATGTATTTTCTGCACACCTTATACATATCACAGATTTGATAACGCTTGGGGCATATCTCCATGACAAACTTCATGCCTATGTTTCCCAGCTTTACCTTAAAAATGACTTTTGAATGAAAAAAGTGAAAACGTGCGTTGTACGGGCACCATCGAAGGAGACAAAACACCGTCTGGTAATTTGGGGCAGATATTCTCAGGTGTCCTCGTGACTCCACCCACGAATGTAATTGTAAAGGTCCACGTCTCGTCACCCTTAGTCATGGGCGTCACCACTACCGGGGTCGGTGGGATCCGGACCCCATTAGCTTTCGGACGGACGTGATTATTTTTATTATTTTGACCATGTCAACCGACGCTAAAACAGAAATGAGCCCCAACAACATTTGAGCTATGATTACGTCAATGCCCTTAGCTACGTATCTGAGTTTGACCTTATTTACCCATGCGAAGCCCTGTCCGAAAACTGATTCATGGCTTTCCTGTCACTCTGCTTTCTCCGCTATGACGTCAAGAGCCACTGCAAAGTTCGGCGTGATACATTGGTATAATGATGATGTTTTTTCCTCAACCTTTCAATGAATCAAAGGGAGGAAAGTGGTAAAATCAGGATGACAGGGAAATAGTAAATCACATTTTGAGCAGCGATCGGATCATGGCGCACCTAAATCGGCAGGGACCGGCGGAATTTGTTGGAAGTTCTGTGCTGCGAGGCTATGGGGGAATATGACTAAATACCTCATCCATTCGAGGGCACTTGGTCGATAGCCAATTCGTTCAAGAAGATTGTGGTCCTGAGTTAGGTCAAAGGTGATAAAAAAAATCCCGAAACCTTTCCTAACTTGTTCATTCCAGACCTTTTTATTCCATAGCCCATCCATTCTAGGAGATGACAACCTCCCGTCAGGTCAATGATCGCCAAAACGCCCTAAATCGCCAAAGCTGGCTGCAGACAACCCTGAGCGATCCGATCTTAGTGCACTGATCGCTCTGAAATATTCCCCAGTTGATGCGCCATAGTTGATATAACCTGGCTTTTCCAGAAAATAGTAACCGTTAGTCGAGTTGAAGGTCACCAAAAAACGTTCAAAACCGGAAATAAAGATACATACAATCCCATGCTGCGAACCGCCACCTAGAAAGGATAACTTGTTAACTACATGGCACATCGATTAGTTAAGGTTTCATAGCAAGCAGTTCGAAAGGTTCTGAGTGCGAGATATCTGCAGCACACTTTGGCGGGTCTTGGACATCCTTTGTGACGTTTTTCCCGACCCGAGGTTATCACGTTTTGCAAAGAATAGGATCTCATCCATGTCACATCGATCGGTGAAGATTTGGAAGGATCGGCCTATAGGCTCGAAGCATGGGTTTGTCTACACCCAAATTTGCTGGTTCATGGGTTTTCAGTTATTTTTAAGCTGACAGAAGGTCACAATCTCCTGTAACTGTTAGGTTATCTGCTATGGCGCGACCATTGGTGAAGGTTTTGTAGCGATTTGTTTCATGGTCTCAGAGCGTTAGGGCGTCTGAAAATTAGTCTTCAGTCTGGACATTCTACATTTTCTATCAGGCGGAAATTCTCTATCATTCGAGTAGGTTAAATCATCATTTAGGCAGCATCGACAGGCAAGGACTTTGTAGCGATGAGTCCCGTTAACTTGGAGTACGGCGTCTGTCAACAAAGTTTGTCTGTCATTTAGCCCCTGAGACTAGCAGAAGTTAGCTGAAAGCGCTCGTCGCAGCCACGCCAAAATTGCCAAAACCTGCGATACCACTGTTTACTGAGTAAACTCAGGCTTGTTGAGCAGTGTGAGGGTAAATAGATATCGGGCCTTGAGTGTGAGATAGCAGAATTGTTGCGGTACTGAGGTGCTGCGGCGGTACGGTCCTAGGTGGGGTATAAAATAGGGTACCCAAAATAGTTTCCATGACAGGCTATGTTCATGGCAAATGCTGCAATCGTATGTTGGTGTCCAATGCCGTGCTCATTTAATTTTGAGTTTGGGGCATTGCAGGGTTACAGCATTGTGCATTCTGTGATTTCTTAAATGAGAGAGGAAAGTGGTTTGAAACATGATAGCACGTTTTGTGCAACAGAGTAGATGATAACTGGTAGTATGTTTTTATTGTCACTGCTTGCTATCTTGTCCATTTGTAAGAAAAGATCTATCCATGGAGTGGTAAGGAAATGAACACATCTGTAATGTCGCTTATTATCACCCATTTTACTGTGATCATTTCAGGGCTCTGGTAGTGTTGTGGTAAAACTGAGTCTGAGAAACCAGAGGTACAAGGTTAGATTTTCTGCAGTGTTTGTGTCAGGGTGAGAGGTGGGTGATGCCATATAGCCTCAACAATCAGGTGTATCATAAAGCTGCAGTAACTCCAACATGCACACTTAGATGCTTACAGTCATCAGAAAATATGGTAACATTTTCGAAGAACTCAAGTGTAGATTACTGTAAATTTTTAAGTCCATATGTAGCTCACATTTTTGGACATTTTTTAAGTCCCTCACCATGGTTATGCACTAGCTGTGTCAGTCTAAACCCTGACCCCTTGATACATTGCATTCACCATAACATCCCTTAAAGATTGGGGCTGCTTAGCCTCTAATTTAGCCAGGAGTGTAAAATGTAATTGACATGTTTATGCCATGAGACATGCAAACATGTCATTGATTATGGGATCAATAACGGCATCCAGTTTAAAAGCTTTAGACTATGTTGCATTCAGAGTTCTTAACATGGTTTGAGACCACATCAGTCCGGAACATTGTGCTGTCTAAAAGTTGCATCTTCTGGTAGTTGTTCTCTACAATCTAGCCATGTCTTCTTTCCTTTGTGCAATATAATTTTAAGACATAATTACTATTATTTTCATAATTGCTTGGGGCAAACAGTCATCAAAGCAATGTTTTGTCAAAGATGCTTGAATGATATATTAGGCCACAAGATATCTGGTTTTTAATGCATCAATATCCTGTCCACCAATTCAACTTGTTTAAGCCACCCATGTTTGTGTGTGTGTGTGTGGACTCCTAAGCTATCATTTAACTTTTGTTGCACAGCCAAGAATTGTGATTCCAAAAGAAGTATTGCAACTCAAAATGGATCCAAACTTTTGAAATATTGCTGTTTGAGCTTCATATTGGCTGCAATGTCATGGACTGAGATGGTGCTATCTGAAAATGACCACTGGACTGTAGTCATGTCTCTCTGTGGCATAGGGCCAATGCTTAGCAAAATTGCTATCATGTAAAAGGAAGCTCCTGGCAACAGATAAATGAAGTGAAGGAAATCGAAAGGAGCTTGGATCTCATGGTATGCTTTGAAGCTTTTTAGGTCTACCACTTGCACAACTTGTAGCACCTTTTTTAAACTCAATTTGAGAAACATATGTGCAATCAAATTTGTGAGAGAGAGAAAAATTTTACCCAACTGCTATTTGTTGACATTTTTTTCCAGAAAGGTCCAACTAGTTCCTTTTACCATTCATATTTTCATCTTCATAAAAGGTTATTCATTGAGGTGCTGTGAAAATAATGTTAAGTGGAATTACAGCAAAGTGTATCATTACAGTTAATTTCACTAATCTTTAGTACTCTGTTGTGTACTGATGACCATTCATACAATTTCCTTATCTGTTTAGTTGTGTCAGTATTCTACCATTTTTCCTGTTACAAGCAAATTGGCACAATTTACTGATTTATTTAGTTGTGTCAACATTTTTTCTATTTTTCTGACTGGAGGTGGGCTGTGCACTTTCAGAGCGCTGGATGAGGACAGATGCATATGATGATGCATTGCTGATGTGCTTAGAAGAAAGCCAAGGATAAGAAACATAAGTTGAGAAAGAATTGAATTGAAGCATTTTGGCTGAAGGCGGAAGGTACTCACGTTCACGACACCATTCTGTGATGATACCAGAAAAGGTGCTGACAGGAGCTGATTGCCAATGTTCCTTTTGAGCACATCCTTGGGGTTACAAAAAGAAAGGATGGGTGTTTTATCAAACATGCCATACTTCTCATTTTCAGTGCTGTGTATTTTGTCTGCAAATATTTTCCAAGCAGACCACATCAAGACAACAGGTGTGTTTTGGAGACTAGACCCATTGGAAGACAAGGTCATCAGCATTGGTAGTTCACAAACAGCAGAACACAATATCTCAAGCAGCACATCTGCAATCCCCTTTGAGCAAGATATCATATTTGAAGCACTCTTGAGTACAAATATGAAAGATGGCATTTGGACAAAACACCAAACTCTCAGTTTCTGCACAGGCAATGCTGCACTGGCTAATGGTTGTGTTGACATCAGGTTTAATATGCCTTCTGAGTCAAACCAGATCACCTCTAGGTAAGATGATGTGTTTATGATTACAGTTCCTAACACTTTTGCCCCCTTGCCACTATATTGCATGCTCAAAAAGTATATTTTTTGGCATATGGATGCATGTTGTGTATTTCTGGCTGCACTCATCCATTATTCCTATGCAATCGCTTGTCATTGCCACATGGTTTCAATCAACTTTCTGTAAAACTTTGCGCCTTCTATTCACGATTTTTTGGGCATGTGTGTTCAAAGGGAAGGTCAGCTGGAAATAATAGGGTGTGGAAGTGAGCTTGAGTCATAACTTTTCCAATTTGATGGCTTCTAAAATGCATTGTGCAGTCTTTCACATGTGAATAAGAGACCCTTGCACTGTGAAATCGTCATAAGAATTCATCTCGTTTGTGGACCAAAACTATGTTCGGGTCATTGTGCTAACATTCACATGATAGTCAGCGTCATTGATTTGCTAAACTCACATTCCTGATCCTTGGAGAAATGAGGTCGTCTCCCTGACAGCTCCTCATAAAAATTTCGGACGTACTTGCCGTCTAAATGCTAAATATATTTGCCAACGAAATATCTGCACCATGCTGCCTCCAATAAGAGACTGCGAAATGCTTGGTAGGGCAAGATATTCTAACACGTCTTGGTAATTAAAAAGATAATGAATTTGCGATTTAATTGTGATAAGTGTGCACATCACGTTCCCCTATTGACGCAACTGGCGTGCGCCCACGCCGTCACCCAGGAACGAGTCGGCCGCGGCGGAGCCGGAGGAGCCGCTCGACTGCGGCAAGTCGGTCAACTTCACCCACTACGACCACCTGGTGGGCGTGTCGAGCCGACGCCACCACCCGCACGTGCCGGAGCCGCACGCCAGCCTGGTGTTCCGCCGGCGCGGCGAGAGCGTCGACCTCGACCTGCTGGAGCGGAAGCTGCGACGCTCCAAGCGAGAGGTGACGCGGCCGTGGTGCCTCCGCCCGTCCGTTGCCGAAGGCGGTGCGGTTAGCGCTGTGGGCGCCGGACTGGTGCTCGGGGACCGTGGTCTGGGCGGCTGGTTGGCAGAGGGGTGAGGAAGAGCAGATGCATGTGGTGTTTTTGTTGTTGTTGATCGGTGTTTTCGGACGCGCCGACTGCAGTGGTCATTTGGCGCCCAATGCATGTGGTGTTGAATGGCATAATGTTCAACTGGCCACTGGTGCTCGGGGACCGTGGCCTGGGCGGCTGGCTGGCAGAGTGGCGAGGAAGAGCAGATGCACGTGGTGTTGAACGGCATAATGTTCAACTGGCCACTGGCAGATGTTCACAGAGATAAGTTGCAGGACAGACGTGCCGACGTGCTGCTTCTTATGGAACATCAACAACGATGTACAGCGTAATTAGAGTCCACCAGTGTGCCGTCTTTGCGGAAATGTTTCGTCGAATGGATACGATTCGTGGAAGACGTATTAGGCAAGCTAGCATCTTGATCCTGCCCGCAACTGAAAGAGGAGTTGGTCTGGTCTTGCCGCTGCAGTCAGCAGTAGAATCCGAACGTAACTGCGATCCATGTCGTAATCGGGATGTTGCCACTATTTCCAGCAGTTCTCGGCCTGATCGTCAGTTCGACAGGCTGTGCGTGCTTTCAGAAGCCGAAGTCACTGCAGCTGTACAACCAGATAGGCAACTTCTGGCGAATAAAGGGCGACGCGTCCAAGGCCATCGAGTGCTACCGCCGCTCACTGGCTGTGTCGCCTAATAATGCAGAGGTCAGTGGCAAAGTGGCCGTGCGCTATTGACGCCTCTATCACCTGCGGTTTATGCCTTATCCGCGGCAACACTGAGCCGCTCTCTTACCATAAGTAGTCGGCCTGGTGTTCAAAAGAATTCTGTGCCCTTAAGCTGTGTCCTAAGAAGTCAATGCTCAATATTGTGGGTTTGACGTTACTATGGCGGTTGTGGAAAGTGTTGAAATATCAAAGCTTTGTGAAAAGAAATGTTCGTCCTATTTTGTCATGCCGTGCATGTCGTGACAGCCAACCAATCATCGGCCAGCTGTGGCGGCCAGCCTCCAGGCCGTTAGCCGTTGATGTCGATTCTGATCACGTGACGCTTGCAGGACGTTAGCCGTTGATGTCGATTCTGATCATGTGACGTTTACAGGCTGTTGGCCGTTGATGCCGATTCTGATCATGTGACGTTTACAGGCTGTTGGCCGTTGATGTCGATTCTGATCATGTGGCGCTTCTTTTTCCTTGATGTTGTCCAGCACTGAATGATTCTGTTAGCAGGGCCAACAATTAGCGAGCTTTAGGTCTTCATGACAGTATGGTCGTGAATGTCTGCGTGGTATAATTTGAGTTGAAGACCCCACGCAGAGGTGAAACTGTAACATCGCACTTTGTAGTACTGCCAAACTAGCACCAGCGTTCATCGGTCCTTTGATTAAGATAAGTGGATGCCTTTGTTGCATCAACTTGAACTTGCACTTTTACATCGGTATGCATGCGGACGTACGTGCGTGTTTATGTGCGTGCATGAGTACGTACGTAAGCGTGCGCGTACCATTTACGTACGTACATACGCGCGCGCACGCGCGAACGCACGCACGCACGCACGCACGCACGCACGCACGTAAATGGTACGTGTGTACGTGTGTTCACGCGTTTTTGTCTGGCCGTCCAGAAACTTTTTTATTTGTGAAGCAAGCTATTTGACTAATCACGTCTTCGTTGTCTGTTGTGATAATTGTTCACTGATAAGTCGAGCCAACATGCGAATACGTGTTGGGGTATCCGGGTTATCGCGCGTGTAACATGCTCTGGCGATCACGGCCAGGTGCTGTTGAGCCTGGCTCGGGTGCTGTTCAACCTGCAGTACCTGGACGACGCCATCTTCCTGACCCGACGCTCTCTGGAGGTGCAGCCGCCCGACCAGAGCGCCTGGCTCCAGCACTTCACTCTGGGCGAAATACTCAAGGTGTGGAGGAGTGGCGAGCACGTCTGGCTGCGGTGCTTCACTTGTTGATATTTTTGGTGCGGTATGCACGGCGTAAGTCTTACATGGAAGTGTGATCGGCGCAGCGATACCGACCAGTGAGGGATGGGATGAGGTGACAAGGTAGGGAGCGGTGGCCGACATTTCTGCATGGTCCTGGTCGCCATTTCTGCGTTGGAAGCGTCTTCTTCCAGCACATCCACTGGAAGAGAATGTCGTAGTTTTGGAAGGCAATTTATTCTGAGGCAAGGAAGGGGTGCGTTTCAAGTCAAAGGGGACGGGAAGAATGAGTGGAGAATTTTGGACCCCCTAAATTGAAGTTTTAATATCTATCTTGTCCACATAGAAGTTCTTTTGCAACTGAAGATCACAAAGAGCCAAGATCTCGCCTGTCTGTCGTGATTTGAACGGCCAATAAAAGTGGGGGCCATGTGACCACTGTAGTCGGCGCGCCCTAAAGCCCAAATCATCATCATGATCGAGCGGCCAACAAAAAAGAAATTCATTGTGTCGTTTGTTCTGAGCCATCCCATTGGGAAGTAGAATTCCTATGGCCCCGAAATACCGCGATAAATTCCAACTACTGGGAGGATAGGACGATTTATGCTTCTCTCGTTGTTATTGGAGTTTAAAATCGCATGTAAGATCGCAGGTCATTCTGCGTCGAATTTCCCCTCGCCGATATTGGCGGGATGGTTTGAAGCAGTCGGTGGCTGTTGTAGCGACGTGTATGTTGAAGGGTATGTAGTGTATGTTAGTCGGCTACTTTTTTGCCCTTATTCTCAACGTTTCCGTGTTTCTGTCAACGAATGATTTCTTAGATTCAGCTCGTAGGTAGCTGTATGACAGATATCAGTGACAATGGTGGAATACCAGGTACAATTATCCAAGATTTTGTGTATATATATATATATATATATACATGTATATATGTTTATAGATATTAAAGACATGCGGCCAGGCCAGTACGCCTGGCGGGCAGGGCTGTAATCAACTCCGCTGACATGCATCTTAGTCCCAGACGCCGTATCCTAGTCACACCCATCTGGGCACTGGGGCAATCCGTTGCGACCGCCGCCTGGCGTGTGCTGCAGGAGTATGGTAACTACCAGGAGGCGGAGATGCACCTGCGCCACACGCTGGAGCTGCGGCCGCGCTTCCAGCCGGCCGAGGAGGCGCTGCGCCAGATGGAGGCGGCGCCTGGCACGCGCTTACACGGCTACACGGTGTTCATCATCTTCGTGCTGGTGAGCGGCCGTCGGGCGGCGGGCTTACCTGTCGCCAGAGGACAGCGCGGCGGGTCAGAGGCGAGGAGCTACGTGGGCGGCGTCGTGGTCTACCAATGCACGTCTTTTCAAGGCATACGGACATGTCTGCTGAGGAAACATGTCCGTATGCCTTGAACAACACTTCTACGCCAGATGTGGCCTTTTTTGCGAGACCGGTCGTGTTCGGTTCGTCTTTTTTGCATTTCTTCCAGCTTGAGTCAATTCTGAAACCAGATCAGACTGGTTTCCGTAGGCGGCTGGTTGTTCACTACCTAGTATACTACCCGCATCTGGTAGTGTTGTTCAGCTGCCTGTCCGGAAAACCGGAGGTACCGGGTTCGATTCCCCGCGGTGTCTGTCCTTCCTGCGAGGGCAGGCAGCACTATATAGCCTCAGCAACTGAGTTCGTCGTAAAGCTCTAACGCCCCTGGTGGTCTGGCACCGGTCAAACACGTCACTCTCACTCGCACTCCGGTCGCATGGCGGGTGATCTATTTTGTTTCCGGCGAATTAACCCTTTTGGTAGTGAATCCGATCTTGAGCACCGTTCGCCGCGGACGCTCAAACCCCAGTCATGTTCCGCTGCAGGTGGCCTGTGTGCTGCTCAGCATCCTGTCGACGCTGGAGTCGGCGGCGGCCGAGCCGGGCTCTCCGGAGGGTGCGCGGCCTGGCCGGGCCGGCATGCGCGCGCTGCGAGGTCGCTGGCGACGCTCTGTCTGAAGCGACCGGGCGCCGCCGGTGCGCAGATGCCACCAGCAGCGGCGGTCCCGATCGTCCCGGCTCTCGTGCCCTCGAGACTCGCCGACCGGCCGCTCGAGCGGTTGGCCCGCAGTTGTTCTCGGTGCCCGCAGCTGGTGGCTGTGTGGCTGCCTCAGTGCGCGTCGAGCGATGGTCGGTGCAGGATGTACCTGACTTTGGTCCTCGGCTTACCAGGAGACGGGCCTGGTCACCCAGGCCCTGGCTGTTGATCTGATGTTCTTATTGAAATGCGGGTGATCCCGGTGAGCGGATTGCAAATGCTCTCAGAGTCTGAAAGAGCAACTGTTTTGTGTTATGTTGTGAGGCCGTGGGTCTTCCACCCCATCCGACTAGTCGATCGACTCGATTCTCCCATCTGATCGAGTTTCGCTTGGCCGGATATAAATAAATTTGTGCCAGTCATGCTCATGAATCATTTCAGCTCTATCGATCACCCATTAAGCGCCTGCAATTGTGTTCAATTGATTTTTTTCTGTGGAGCGCTAGCAGTTGCGCCAATCCCGATCAACTCACGCTTCAGCAAACATGGTGCTTTACCGAACTTATTGCGTTTCAGCTGGACCTCATTTCTGCGGGTATTTCAGTAGCACGCTTTGTTTAACTGTCGTGAGGTATCTTGTGTACTACGTCGCATTACCTATCATGTTCTTGTTTCTTGCTCCAGTCAGGCATTGCTAAGCTTGAGGGCCGACGTCAACGTGACTTTGTGAGGACCGTTCCGCGGACATTCGGGCTTTGGACCCATCTAACGATGCTAGTCGACCGCTTCTGCAGTACAGGTGGAAATACAATCCTGCCGAGCTGACTGCTGTTTTCGCAAATTCGAACGTGAATCAAGAACATAAAATAAAACAAAATAAAAATAAATGAGCTATGGTGACAATCAGGGATAAATGCAGGCACAGGAAGAGGCAGATCGTTGCTCACCTTTTGTACTGTGTAGTCTAAACATAAGTAAGCGTTGATGCAAAGAAAGGTTTTACTGGCAAGAAGCCTTACCCAGCCCGCTTTTTAGAGCATTCCTGCTTCCTTGAGAAGGGGGCCGTGGGGGTTTCACTGCTTTGTGAAACGCAGCAAATTGATTTGTAATACAAATTATAAAACTGCATCACAGATATGCAGCGAAGTGCGATGCTGTTGCTTTTTCAAAGACGCGACGTACCAGCGTGGGTGCTTGAGGATGGATGTGTGAGGGCACGCATACGGACCAACTGGGAAGCTTAAAGGGACGAACTAGTCCACAATGAAGTTATTGATGCGATCGTCAGCTATAGAAAAGCTCATATGGCCCTTAGTACGTTTTTTTCTGCGCAGAATACAGTCTGAGAACAAATATTTAATGTTAGTAAAAAGTATCAATACGTCACCGTTTGGTCGAGTCATGGAACGATTTTATGACTTATGACTTTATGACTCCAGAGCCGTCGCCAGACTGGCCGTGTCCGAGTTGCTGCTGTAGCGAACAGCGTGACCTACTTGTGGTACTTCTGCGCGCCCAAGGTGTTGTTAGTTCATACGTGCAAATGTTTGTTGCGAGCAATATGTGCGTGTTTTGACGCCTTATCGCGAAATTCTTGGATATTCTTCCGCGCTAGCATGCTTTTTATTTGCACTTGCATTTTCCGTTACGACGCTGGTCGCAAGTATCATTTCGTATCATTTCAGAAAGTATCATTTCGAACTGTCCGGACCGAGAACAATCCTCAGGTAGCTCATTTCCTGTGAATGAGCATAGACCTTCCACAGCTTTCAGGGGGCCGTTTAGATGGTTCTTTCTGGATGAGTGCAGCCGGGCCTCGTCATTGCGATTTCTTCCTTTGTTGGTGCTATTTTTGAACGGATTGGCGAGCGTCTTTGCAATTGTGGTCATGCCCCTAACTTTCTTTTATTGCACCAATAGCTCTTGTTCGTGATGCGGGCGTATCGCCCTTTCACACTTCCATGGATGACTGATATTTGTGTCCAGAACGACGTGAATGGTCCCTAACTCGTAGTACCGCACGTTTTGGGGTTGATTTTCTGTGATGGCAACACCGTGGCACTGAAGGAGCGCCTCATTTTGACCAATCCCCTGAAGCTTCTTGGCCCGAGTTTCCCAGACAGCCCAGTGCTGTCAGCGTGGTGGTTAGAACGGAGTATCCAGCCAAGTAACGCTCCATGATCTCTCTCACGCACACCCGACTCGAATGGCCACACCCCTTGTACGTGACTAATGTGAATAGGGAACCCAGGCGTGACTCATCGCACCTCCACCGGATATCAGCGATGACCCCTCCCGTTCTGCCCGAGCGATGGCCCCTCCCGTTCTGCCCGCACGATGCCTCGGACCGCGCTCCAGGTGGAGCCGCAGCCGACCGCCGCGTGTGGGTGGACTGATTCGACACTCGCTGGACGAGTCCACCTGGAAATACCGACTAACCACGCTACTGGCTCTAAAGTAAAAAGCAAGTAGAATCCCGAAATCATGGTGGTTTTAAACTGAAAGTCCAAACTGATTTGGAAACCTTTGACGCTACATTCATATAAGGATTTCTGATGCTCTAGTGTAATGCTGCATCAAATGTAAACATGTGTAAGTCTATCGCATTTGTGAATTTCGGGTCTGTGATAAATGCTTTTTCGCAGAAATCTCAGGTAGCCGTGTGTCAGAAGTGCCGTTTGCTGGTTGAGGCGGTATGGAATGACCCTGTTGCCAGACGAGACGTCGCCAGCAGCCTCGTGCTCACTGCTAGTTGTGTTCCTTGTGATCCGGCACCTTGTGTTCCGATGGGATGGTCTCCAAACGTAGAAGTTTAGACCTTCTGGGAATCAGTTTGGGACTCACAGAGGACCGGGAGGTTTCCTGGTGTCAAACTCCAGCCAAGTCTCTGAACACGCTCAGCGTTATTCGTCGGCAGCGCTTCGTGTCCGATGTTGTAACCGGCGGTTTTCACCGACAAAATCACTATGTTCGTTGAGACATGAAATCTTACAACGTGATCCATTTCACGAACGAACGAACGTCTGACGAGGCGCGTTTCTTCCCTGGGGCACGATCACCTTAATGAGGGGGCGCGTCAGCGCATACCAACACATCTAAAATTACGTACCTTTATTAACACATATGCTGCGATATTCCCGACTCGTTACACACCCTGCTCGGGGACCCACTACGCGGCAGGGCCGCGGCCAGACCGGGCCCCGGCCGATCACTTCTGCTCCTTCTGCTTCTCCAGGCTGCTGATCCGGTTCCGGTGCCGGTCGATGGCCTCCTGGTGGCGTGCGATCTCCGCCTCGTGGTGAGACACCTCCTCGTGCAGGTGCTTTTTCAGTTTGCGCAGCTGCTCCTCTTGCTGTTGGACAGGAACGAATGGAACCAGTTTACGCAGTCACTCGCTGCCACTGACAGCTCACAGACGCAAACAACCTTGCACTGGCAAGTCACCCCCGTCAGTTCAAGACAGGACATTTCCAGGTCATACGTACAACTCCCATGACGAGGGCTTCTAACAACCTTACAGCCCGTCGCAACCATGCTAATGTAGGGCACACCAAGTGTTTTAAGGGAACGTGCCAAATATGAAGAAACTGAGGCAAGCATCATGCATATCAAAATACTCTGGCTTGTAACATTAGATTTCATAAAGCTGGTCTAAACCACGAGCTTTGAGGTTTGAACCAGTGCATAACATGGATCATGTGATACTCTCATTCCTAATGCTTAAGTGTGACTCAACAACAGCCACTGTGGTAAACACCATAGGGAAGAACTCAAAGCCATAGTACAATGTTTCGTTGCATTCGCGGGATCCCATTCTTATTTTTGTCTTAACAATGCTTCAAGCTTTTGTAGCATTTATCACACAAAGATTCTGACACATTTATGTGTTCCAAACATAACAGGAGACACACAGCGGAAGGATTCGGGTAATGTTCCCATGGCCTGATGCATCAGACTACCTAGTCTGCATGAAATAGTCTGCACATGTTCCTGGGTCAGAAATGTCAGAAATCAGGGGTTTTAGGTCTGAAAAAGACAGGGTTGCAAACTGTGCTAAATGATCCCAATTTGTCAGTAATTTTCTCACTTTGATGACAGAGCTTTTCAGCCGCCTCCGTGGTCTTGGGGAAAAATGCTGGACTCGTAATCCAGCGGCACTGGGTACGAGTCCCAAAGTGGGTGCACTGTTTGACCAGGCTGAAATGGAAAGGCCAGCTGGCAACTGGCCGACGAGGTTCAACCCAGACCCGAGGCGGCCGTGTCACAGCATTGTGAGGCACGTAAAACCCTCCGCATTCCTGTCTGGCGAAAGGGCGGAGGCAAAATTAGCTGTTGAACTGGACGGCACGCTTGGGTGGTGGGTTCGGGGTACACGCAACAATCTATGCTTAGCAGGTACTCTGAATTCGAAGTCACCCATACAAACCATTCAGAATAAATTTTAGAAAAAGCCCTGCCAATCTGTTGTTTTTGTTTTCCATGTGTGAAATCGTGCAGGGGGAAAAAGGGCATTTCTAGGCATTCCCATAAGGAGGTTATATTGAAGAACTCAGGATCCTGTTCCATTACACAGTGCACCATCACCAGTCAGCAAACCACCATTGAACAGCTTGCCAATGGCAGATCTTTGGATACTGTACTGTGGCACATGATCCAATAATCCTCCATAGGGGAGACAATCAAAGCACACACTCAAAGTATCCTGAAAAATTCCCATTTTGTCAAAACTGGGGGACATCCATTGCTCCTTCTCCATTTGTGTCATATGGTTTTCAGATATCTGTTGAGAAAATGAACAAAGCAGGTGTGTCTCATACATACTGACCACAAGAAATGTTTCAAACTATTACTCTTTTATGGACTTTAAATTTTGCTGAATGTGCAAAAAACAGCCATTAAAGTTTCAGATGCATAAGATTTAAGGTCATCCCATTGCCATAGATAGCTTTGCTGAAGCTGTATTTTGACATTCATGGCCTTAAAACCACTTACCATTTTCCGGAAATACTGCTCCTCGTGAGCAAACTCCATCTTGCCAAAAGCACCACCAGCATCCCGAATGGAGCCACCAGTGCCACCACCCTGGCCAGCACCAGAGCCTGGCTCACCACCCGAGGAGGACATGCGCACTTGCCTGCAATGTAACAGTCTGTGTTCAGTAAACAAGTGTGAACTCAGTCAGTATGGATGATCAGCATGGGCATGCATTTGAGGAAAGCATGCAAGGCCATCTGGCTTTGCCAAACACACTCAACTGACTAAAACAATATGTCAAACACCACCAACAGACAAGCATAAATCAAACAGAGTTACTTGGGATTGTAGACAAAATGGTCATGATTGGTTATCACCAAATTCAAAACATAAAAATCACAACATTGCTGTGTAAAATTGCATGATACAATTGAAAAAAAACAGGCAGTTTTTGTGAGAAAAAAGTGGTGAAAACATAACCTTAATGTGGTGCAACACTCAGCACAGCCCAACCTGCCCTTTGATAAAATCTGACCTTTACTGCAGTCACTGCCACCAACCACACGCCAAACCAATCAAGACAAATAGCAAGCACCTGACGGGACTTGAACTCACTCTGCCAAGGGTGGGTGACTCAGAAGGCAGGTGCTTTAACCAACAGAACCATAGGGATGGACAACCAGAATATCTGACTACCTGACTGGGCCAAAATATTCATATCTTTGATTGAATTTCACAAGATGTTAAGTCTCCTGCACTTCCAAGGGTATTACAATAAAACTTTTGAAAAATGACTTATTCAAAATGTATTAATACATTAAAATATTGAATTTCTTTCTTGACTAGCCTTCTGGTAATGCCAGATTTCCCAGAAACATCTCAACTTGCAGTCACCCAGCCAGCCTGATAAGGAGAACAATGGATCTCTATGCACATTTTAGCACAGGACCTCCACCAATTACAGTGCATACAGTTACAGTTACAGTGCATAATGCATGCCATTCTCAACAGAATTACTCAAAACATTTTTCCAAAAAAAGAAGAAACTCATCACATTTTGGCCCAACCTGAGTCTTGTGTATGAGTGAGCCAAGTTAGGCACATTAATGTCATGTGGATGTGTAGCTCAATTAATAATTTGTTTGTAGGCTGAGGTGCTATTTGACTTGATCACTCAAAACAGGCCATCCAGATCCAACAATCATTAATATTTTAAGCTGAAGAAAGCATGTTCTTGAGTGGCAGTGATCAAACAATTACGATGTTAACAGGTCACAATAACTTAATTTTTAGCAGATGTCATTAAATGGAAAAACATAGCGTCCAATAACATATCATGTCCTGTCCAACAGCATGACATATTGTGTCCACCCCCTCCATCCCTCACTTTTTCATGTGTTTCCATAATTGTGAGCCATCGACTTCGACCCTCGGCAAAAAGCATGCATCATATTAGGTTGATCTTCGTCCAAATCGATCTTCTTATTACATCAGCCATTCTCTCACACATCGCCGGCAGCTGTCGTCCAACCCACCTGACGAGCGGTGCGCTTGCTCTCATGAGCGCAGATACGCGTGGTAGGGAAGCCATCACACGTATAAAAGACTCCAAATTTGGGTATTTACGCAGCGCGTATCTGCCTTCCTTGTACCTATAACGCTACGGTGCCACTCCGGGTCTCAACGACGTATATTGACCAAAGACAGGGTACGTGATAACTTGAGACGGCTTTAGGTAAGGAGTAATATCCAACGGTTCCTTAGGTAGCTTTTATGATCAAGAGTAAAAGTTTTTAGATTTTATAAAATCTTAAAATTGAATTTAAAAAATTTTATTTTTAAAATCAAAGTTTTGGTACAGTTATATTTTTATTTAATACAAAAAATGTGTCGTGTAATAATATATAACCACTAGGTTTACGCACCGCTTTTTTCATGCAAAATGGGACCAAAAAGTGTTCCCATTATGACACAGCTACGACAATCTCAGCGCACTAAGGAACCCTTCTATAGTTGCGCGGAAAATCCGGTAGATGGTGCAGTCTGATGCAATCTTGCAAAGCTGTGTGCTACTTGCATCTAGTACCACGCAAAGCATGGGCGCTGATGTAATTATTTTCGAGGGACCTGTCCCTTATGTTGAGTTGCCCCGCCTCCAGTGTTGGCTTGACCTCCTGTCCAATACTTGTGGCTGAATTAAAATAAAAAAAAAACGTAGGGACATGTTGACCATCACGCGACTATTTTCTTTGAACATTGCTGGCTATGACTGAAGGTTCGATCAAGGCATTTCGATAGATGGGACTCTATCTAGAATGAGTTTTATCAAGGGGCCCCGAACAAAAAATTCAGATTTTGCAAAAAACTTGATTGCCACATTTTATGAAATCGCTGAAGACACAAGCTACACACACTTGGCCAACTGGTCTACACCAAAGAGATAACCTTATGCGATGAAGCAAGGTCTGCCTCACGTGAGCAGTGTGTAGTTCGGGTTCCCGTAGTCCGTCCTGTACGACTCATGACTTCGGAACATCCAGCACCCTTATTGGTAGTGCTTTGGTTCCTACGATCGGCAATAGATCACAAGTAAAATACACCAAAGACCAGTTCGTACTTTGGGTTATTCGGCTATTATTGATCAGCATTTCGAACAAAGTAGCAAGGTTTTTTTTGTTTCGTTACTTTCCATACGCTGTGCACACTGCCTTTAAGAAATGTACACCCGACTCAGATGTGGGGGCGGAGATGGTTTCAGTTACGGGTTCGGCTTCGCGAAGTCAGTTTTTCTCCAGTGGCGCGGGTTCGGCTTCAGCTTTGAGCCGCTCTTTACGGCTGGTTCGATGACGGGTTCGGCTGCGGGCCTTTGAAACGGCTGGAAGCGGTCTCTGCTTCGGGTTTTCAAGCGGTTGCTACGGCTTTGACTACGGCATCGAACACGACTTCTGAATCATGTTTCCGTCAATGGAGTCTTGTCTTTTTGGACAGTTGGCTTCGGCCTTTTCATGGTAATTTTCCCCTGTAGTTGCGACTTAACTTCATAAAAGCAAGTATGAACTGACAAGTCTTGCCTATCTTGCCTGAAAAAGCCTGAGTTTGACCTTGAATAGTGACCTTGCGAGGTCAGGACCTTTTTACGGACGCCAGTTAATGAGCTGGTGAATATGATGATGCTTGGAAAGTTAAAACCGGCCGGTAGATTTTTGGTGATATTGAGTTCCTCGTCAATTGAACCTAGGTTTGACCTTGAATTGAGAGGACCTTGGGAGGACAGGAATTTCTGGCGGACGCTAGTTCTTGCGCTTGGGAATATTCTGATGCTTGAAAGTGTAAATTGGTCAGCAATTTTTTGCTTATATGGAGATCCCCATCCTTTGAGCCTGACTTTGACCTTGAAGGGTGACCTGGAAAGGTCAGGATTTTTTTACGGACGCTAGCTCTTGCGCTTTAAGGATTCTGGTGTTATTCTGATTCTGGGCTTAACTAACTAGTTTTAAGCTAAGCCCGCCAAAGTTTCACTGTGTTCCGCTTAGTGGTGAGAAAAATATACAGTTCTGAACACCAATGAAGCAAAAAAAAAAAAACGTCCATAAGCACCATCACAAAGTTACAGTTAGCCTAGCTTACAGTGCAGCCGATGAGGCAAAACGATCTGTTATCAACCTCTCCGCCACCCTTGCGGGGACAGAGATGTTAGAGGGTGAAGGGGGCGGGGTGATGTTTTGTCTCCGAGCACCTCTGACGTATGCCTCCGAACACCTCTGACTTAGTCGTGCGGGTGAACGCCTCATTATCAATGCGCCGGCGGCGAGGCTGCTCACGCCAGCCGCCTTATCTACGAGTCGCGATCCAATCTTGCCAAATGTGTGCACAGGCCAGAGGTTTCCAATGTCTGCCAGGCCCCGAGTCGTAGGTGGATCGATCGTGCCCGCGCACACCGAGCGCCCAGGACATAAATATTGCAAACTGTAAGTGACAGCTGCCCGGCCCCGTGGGTTAGGCCTGCGTCGTGTATTAAAAGGTTCGTGGTGTCGTCCACTGGAAAATAATATCATGGAAAATAATGAATCCTGACACATTGATAAAGTACTTCACTTTTTGGTTCCGTATTTTGAAGTTGGAGATCATACAGCCATATACTCGACCGATGAAATCACTCGGCGAGATTCTGCCTGGCAATACCTGGAACAAGTACTGCGGAAATGTTAGTCATGAGAGTTTTTGAAATTGTGGTGCGCCGTGAAGTATCTTAGAAAGCTTTAGGTGAATTACGCTGAACAGCACGCCGTGCTTAAGGCTGTATTTATATTGTCCATCGATTCTCAGGGTTTGGAATTCCAGCACAAGAGACCGGTTGAATTGTCGGTTACAACCTAACTCCCTTCCTTCTTCATAGGCTGATCAAGGAGGCACGCAGTTTCCCACTTGATCCCGGAACAGGCTACACTTATAATAAAGACAACAAGAAATAAGTGCATTCCTTCCAGCAAGGCACACAGAAACGTAAGGGAACAAGCTTTGTTCCTCAGCACTGTTACTAGTATTTGCACGCGTGATATTATATCGACGGGGGGCATTTGCGACGCGATGACTGTGGTATCGCATCGATGGCGTTTGTCACAATATCCACAGTCTGGTTGATCTCAACAAGAGATTGACGGACGTTTTGTTAAGCACTGAAAAGTTGTGGCATATCACAGCGTCAAATTGTGGAATATACCAATCATGATACTTCGTAAGGCATTGCTAAGTTATGAAACGGTTTTTTTAGGTTACGTATTGATCGCGCTTCTGTGTGCAATGGGAAGGGGGCATGAAAACACCCCAGGTTTAACTCACCCCAGATGATAACCATTTGTCATTTGTAACCAACTTACTTTCCGCGTCAACTCTAGACTGAAATGCAAGCATCCTAGATGTCCCAGATCCCATTCCTGAAAAGATTCCTTCCACATGGAAAATGAGAGGCTAATGCCCACCAATCAGTGGTGGCTGGGCCAAACACACCGCCCTTTTTATGTCAGCCTTACAAGAAAGAGATCACCTCATTTGGTACCAAATGAAATGCTCGAATACTTTTATAAGCGGTTGCGGAAACCATGGGCCGTCGTTAGGACTATTCAAATAATTCCGGAGGCATATTTCTTTCAGTATATACCCAATTGTCATGTGAAGTTTGCAGTGAACTATTGTCTGGTCTCATTGAGCCAAATATGCCACGGTAAATCAACCAGCTGGCACATGAAGGCGCAACAAAACGCCTGCAGCGTAAAGTTCACCGGCTATTTTAAAAAGCCCGACGAAAAATGATGGTTCGTCCCTTGCGCATTCCATTTCTGTGCATTTTAGAAAACAGATGCCTGTGGAACATAGCGGGACCAAACTAGTCATCGGTCGAACAAACATTAGAATGAGGAGATTTCTCGTAGATCCAAACAACGAACGGTGAGTACTTCCTATACACTACAGCGAGTCTCTCGATATGAGCCGAATGAGAGCATAGCCGTTAGAAGCAAGCGATTATCACCAGAAATGAGCGCAAGACTAGCGAAGGTCAGACCACTGGGTATAATTCGCGTGTGGTCCCTCTGTGTCATACTTCTTATGCACACGTCCATGGAAAACCTGTACACTCCATTTACTACTACGTTGGAATGCAAGACACGCCAAAGGCAAGAGCGCTGGGGAACAGCAAAGATCGGAGGTGCAGCACCGGCCGGCCGGTGTAGGTCAATGGTCCGGCCCCAAGTTCGGTCACGCTCCCGACCTCCCCTGGGCGGCGGATGGCGGCCGCGGCGTGTTTGCTTCAGGGACGTCCTTCCGGTCGCGCCGCGTTACGTGCGCTGCCGCCGAGGGCATCAATACGCCGGCGAGCACCTCCATCCGCCGCCGAGGGTCTCCAGCCGCCGCCGAGGGCCTCCAGCCGCCGGCGACGCCGTGGATGGCGAGTGTGACCGTCGACTCCGGCGCGCGGTGGTCACCGGCCGGTCGTTGCGCGACACCGGCGTTTGCGTCCCTGCCCGAGCAAGACACACTCGCCCGTCTGGCACCGTCGCTGATGGTGTAGGGCGCGGCAGCGGTGGAGGTTACGCGCCTGTTGTTGGTCTGTGCGGACGCTTCAGCGGGCGGTGGCCGTGCCGAGCTGAGGCCGGTCGCTGCGGCTGTCGCCTCTCGCCACAGGTCGGACGGGAGAACGGTCCTCACGGTGCTCCCCACGGTCGAGCGTTCCCATCGAGCCACAGTCTGAGTCACGCCGGCGGACCGCCACGCCCAACTCCCGCGCGACGACTCCCGGCCTCTTTAACGCAGGGCGACATCTATACGCGTTGAAAACCCCTGACGGACCGGAAGTTTCCGTTATCAGCCGAGCCTCAATCTGATACGAGAGCGAGGGGACGGGCCAGTGGTCTGCACGTGTTGTGCCTGCCGTGGTCGTCCTTGTTTCTCGCCTTTGCCAGCCTTTGGGTCGGATGTGCCGCGTTCATGGCTCTGCACCGGATAGTGGCGGTTCTCTGGGCCGTGCTGACACTCCTGGCGTACGGTAGGTGGCGAACAATCGCACGTCAACACCAAGCTATTCTAAACCAATGTCAGGTCTACTGAGGAGGTCTCACTGTAACCATCCAGCCGATTGGACACTTGGCGCTAATTTTAATGAACTCTGGGGAGTTTTGTGACAAAGCGCACGCTGGCCTGAGGCCATCGAACACGTAAAGCAGCCAATGCAACCTCTCTTCATGTCGAAATTCTTCATGGAGGCGAGGACGAAGCTAACCTTGCAATTACAGAGTTTCAGTGCGTCCAAGACGAAAGGGTATCCTGAACGACCAAATGTTGTCATGGAAAGTACTCTCGCCGCGATCGCATGGTTCCTGTAAGACATCACCAAACGGTACGCTAGATGCTCCTCTAGGAATGCACCGTGTGCATAGGCGGATCCTGGGGGGGGGGCACGGGGCCATGGCCCCCCAAAAAACTCTGGGAGTATGTTTGGCTCCACCCCAAAACATTCCCATAACTTCATAGAAGTTTCGTCTACTTACCGTCTGTTTTCACTTTGATGGTGCGGTATCAAACATTTCTTTCCGTTTCGGAAAACTTTATGATGAAAAGTTGGCAGCGATTTGAACATAAAAAGCGCATGTTGACGCGGCTTAGTCATACTCGGCGCAAACATCGTGCTTGATAAGTGCACTGGACCTCTGATCCCACACCAGCCAGCTGGCGACCAACGGTTGCCCTCCCCCCCAAAAACAACAACTCCGGGCTAGATCCGCCCCTGATCGTGTGATAGTTCCATCAAGCTTTTAGGATTGCATTTTGAAATATAGCGAATGGCCGATATAACTTTTAATAAACTGTATGAATAAACTTTATGAAATATAGTTTAAACATGTGGTTATGATTGCGTGCTGCGATGCGGCCAACCACGTCGATAATTGACATGATTCGCGTGGGTGGATAGGATGGGAAATGGATGGGAAATAATGAAGAGGCATTGGTGGACGTATTTTATGTGTAGCATTTATGTATCTACATAAGCCCCTAATGTGTCATATTTCTGGACATGATAATGTTACACAGCTTTCGTGCTTCAATAACGACTACCCGTCACCCATCAGAGCGCGTTATTTTTTAGCGCGTGCTCTTGACTGACAGCGGATGGCATTGTATGATTGTCCATAGATTGGGAAAATCCCGGGCAGAAAGCTCGTGCACAATATGGAAAGTTTGGATGTGAGCCAGTGTTATAAGTCAGTTTGTAATGAAGTCTGCAGAACAGGCTAGCCTCAGATAGCTCGTAATCTGAAAACTACAAATATTAAATAGTCAACAACATCAAACATGGCGAGGATATAAATCTGCCCCTGTTGTCTTTACAGGCAGTAATTATTAACTTGTGGTTCCGCATAGTCAGTGGAATATTTCATCTGTTTCAAATTGCACAGACAACAGAACGTCTTCCTGATGCCTTTTTTGCAAACATAAAGCAACGCTTCTAGTAGAAAGGCCAAAACAGGTCAAGTGAAGCCTATAACGGACCTAGAAATGTCATACAGATACCCTCAAGATGTCCCTGCCCTCTAAAGTTGATTCTAATCGAGTCCCAAGATCTGTTAAGGCGGCACGAACAGTTTGGCGGATGGCAGAAAATAGAGACCTCCTAAGTTTGAAACACTCCCACATCTCACCAGCAAGTCTGACTTCTTATATTGTCGCTTCACTGAAGTGATCTCGTTCTCGAACGCCACATGTCAGATATGTGTAAGAAAGGCGCTTTGTTTTCGCTTAACGAAGCATTTACCACATCTCTGCGCGCCGCAGTTATTATCCTAAAAAGTCTCAGGATGTCAAACGCTTATGAAATAATCGTTTTCAGTACAAAGAGGTCTGGAGGCAATTTGAGGTCAAGTTAACATTAAGTCAACCCGAAATTTTGTTTAGAACAGTCGGCGTGGTCTCAGTGCTATTCACCAAAGGACCCGAATATTACGTCACTAAAACCCATAATGAAAGTTGAGGTCAAGGTCATCTCAGGTCAAGTCCGGGCCACTCATCCGTTTTCAGAGACCTGTCCTTGCTCACAGGTGCTGCTGATCCTGCCGCCAGCTGTGAGGGTCAGACCAGCTGCGGCGCCTGCCTGACGGCTCACTACAGATGCGCCTGGTGCCGCTCGCCGGTCAGTCACGTGACCCGTGCGCCCGGCTCGCCGCCGGATGTCACATGTCACCCAGGTTCAACGCTTAACACGTGCCGGGTGGGGGTAAATTTGATCCACGAAGGCTTTTACAGAATAGTTTCCGAACGGTGCACTGTAGTCGAGCCAAGTTTTGCATAGTTGAAGAAAATTGGAAATAGGATCTTTTGGTATAAAAATTAACTTTGTAAGGCCGCCAACCTTTGGCAGATCAAAGTCAGGCCGTGACTGTGAGTGGAGGCAATTTCGACGGAACGGTTTAATCTGGCGCGTTAGCGGAGTGTCAAAAAACCATACATTCATGAGATGGTTTATTACACAATAAAACAACTAAATCTGGGAGTGAGTAAATTTCATCAACCTAGGGCCTGGTATGACGGTCAGGCCGAGGTCCATATTAGCCTGCTTTTTTACTCGGGAGTTTGCTGCATGACAAAATTTCTTATGATAAGTTCGAAATCAGCAATGACAGGGACTGCATCAGGCCTCTTCCAAGGACTTCTTAAAGGTCAGAGTAGCGCATTGACTTAAAATGACTCGGTTCAACATTTTGTTTTTAAGAACATATCGTCAAGCGCAATTCCTGACGCTTACTAAAATGAAAAAATGAAAGCAGCCTCCTAGAATTTTCGGCACCATGGCCTTCTGAGGGTAAAGAGGTCACTGACCTTAAATAAACCCAGAGCCACTTTCCTTGGAACAGGGAATCTTGGTTCAAGGCAGTTGCATGAGAAGGTCTTGGGTCTTCATGAGAAGGTCACGTTGGACAACAATCAGGGTGTTTGGCCTAATTTGATCTCACTTAATTCAAAGATCATGACCTTGTTTGATCTTACTTAACCAGAATGTCACGATTTGGTTTGACCTTTCTTAATCCAAAGGCCACGACCTGGGCGCCTCAAGTCTTAACACAAATGAGCTCACATAGATGCCAGTACACCCTGTGAACTCGGTGTACCTAGCTCTGCTGTTTTTGAGATCTTAGGGGGTCAAATTGACCCCACCAGAGCAAGGGTCTTCAATCGGCCACCCGGGCGCGTGTTAAGGCTCAGGCGTGGAGCTGGCCAGGGATGTCTCCGCTCGGTTTTGCTTACAAAACACCTGGTACCTGGGTACCGTACCAGGGTACCGGTACCGTGATCCGGGTCAGTCACTGCAGTCGCTGCCCACATCACGGCTCCACCGGTCAGCCCCGCTCCCTTTGCATGCGTTTCCCGCTGCCCGCTGTGTGGTGCCGTTCTACCGTCGGTGTCACGGGCGCGCCTGTGCCGCCGCGTCGCCGGATGACGGCGCGGACGTCGGCCTCGACAGGCGTTCGGCTACAGCCGGTGCAGCCAGCTGGCGGTGATGTCGCGCCTCTGCGCCGCCGACGACATCGTGTCACCCAGCTCGGAGGCCGAGATCGTCGGCGACGGAGAGCCCTCGGACCAGTCCCCCTCCCAGCAGCCGGCGCAGCTGGCGCCGCGGCACCTGCGGGTACGGCTTCGCCCTCGTGAGTACACGGCTGTGCCCGCGGCATACCCCTCTGTGCGCTCGGCGCTCATGCGCGGATCCTGCAAATGAAGTGCAGGATACCGGACTGGATCCCGCCCACAAAGGCTCTGTAGAATACAAGGTCCACCACTGGGTTTCAGGTCCATGCCTGCGTTTTGAACACCCTTCTGCGCCTTGTGAGGTACCTCGCTGCGTGCTTGTGACAATGTCCTGTAGGTCTCTCGTGACTAGCGAGAGTTACCGTGTGCAGCACAAGAAATAGGTCCTGTCTTGGCCGAGACAAGAACGGCTTGTGTAACACCCCACCGGCTTTGCGGATAGAGCGCAAACAATGAAAAGTCACCGAACGAAGACGATATTAGAACCTGAAGTAAGAACCCGGTCCAATTTCCGTCGCCTGAAAAGAATGCTTCCGCAAACGCGGAAACGAAGGCTTTCGAGCACCGAAAAGTAAACTTGGTAGCACAACTGCCGCCGGAAACGTTCCTCTATCTGCCCACTCCTTCTCCCGGCACTGCGGCAACTGAAGCCCTCAAGCCATAGTGGCGTCCCACCTCCTTCATCGGTCATGTGAGGTGACGCCTATTCTAGCAGACATACATGCAGACCTACATACCTACACGTGACCCTTCGTCGGTAACGTAGCGCGGTGCCCCACCCCCATTCCCCTCATCGGTCACGTGATGCGGCGCCCCACCCCTTCATCGGTCACGGGACATGGTGCCGTCTTCGTCCTCGCGGAGACGGGTCTGAGCAGTGTGCCGACAATGCTTCTAACACAAATCGGCTGCCTACGGAACTTCCGCGACACAACTCCTACACGACAGTCCTTATTGTGCAAGTACTTTCATTACACAAACTTCTATGCGGCAAAACTTTTATCACAAAAAGAATATGTGCTGAGTTTCTTCTATGCGACGAAACTTCTTACCAAAACTTCTACGCGACGCTCCTCCCAAAACAAGCACTCGTAACTTGTAAACCTCCAGGTGTCACAACTGCCAGAGCAAAGCCTTCTACACGGCATTATTTATGCGCGGCAAGCCATCTAACGCCAAACCGTATGCTCGACATTACCACTTATGCAAAACCATCAGTGCGCTGTCGTGCACTGATGGGATTCGGACGACAGTGCACGTGGGGATTCGGGGACGTGCAGTGCCCTGTACAAACTCGGGCAATCCCGGTGATGTTCCGGGGCGGTACGCCAGCCGAGTGCTTCCAGAACGGGTGAGATGTGATCGCTGTGGCGGACAACACTCATTAGCTTGGCTGCAAAGTGTATCACCCTTCGCACCCTGTGTGGGTGGTGCTCGGCCACTGCAGTGGACAGGCAGTGGAGGATATGGGAGAAGACGTGAGTTTAGACAAGGGGCTTCAGAACTCCAGGAGTGAAGCGGTGTCGAATTTTGGTTAGGCATACAATAATCGCATTACAGTGCCGAACGAGAGAGGAGACGTGCGGTTCCAAGATGAGGTGGTGATCGGGAAATACATCAAATACCTTCACTAAAGAGGACGAATGAATGCCTGTGCCAGAGATGGTGATGTAGAAGTTCCCGGGCCTTGCGATGGAGGATTTGGTACCGATCAGCATGAAGGCTGTCTTTTTGGGGCTCATTTTAAGGCTTTTTAACTGAAACCAGTTTTGTAGGCACTGAATGGACTCTTCGGCACGGGCTTTCATGTTGGACAGGCCGACGGCATCGGGGCTAGCGGGGTCAAGGAGCTGGATGTCATCAGCACAGGATGGTAGGCGGCCGCGGGGTAGGAAGCTGGATAGACCGTTGATGAAGATGAGAAGCTGGGTTCGGCCGACAAGGGATCCCTGGGCCACCCCGTGGGATAGGGTAACCGAGCTACCACTAACCACCTGCCTCTGGCCGCTCAGGTATTTCCGGAGCCATTCCGAGGACCGCCCGTACCATTCCAGCTCGCTAAGGAGGACGTCGTCATCAACGCCCTCAAAGGTGTTGCTAAGGCGAACCACGTCATAATCAACGCGACATGGCCGTTGCCAACAGCCCTTGCCATTCACCTGGCGGCGTCGATCAGGGCGTCCTCCGCCGAGTGACGTGGACGGAAAGCATGTTGCGATGACGTCAGTACAAGACGGTCGAGAAGGTAAAAAGTGAGCTGCGAGCAAACGGCCTCGGTAATTTTCAACAGTGTAGAGGGGATAGAAATGGACCGAAAGCTGCTCAGGTCTGGTCGATCGCCCGACTTGAACACCGGTGTGACGCACGCGATCTTTCAGGCGGACGGAAAGGTGCGCAATGTGATGACAAGTTGGTCAGATGTAGAAGATCAGCGCCGATTACAGGGAGACACCTTTTCACTGCATAGAGTGGTACGTCACTGGCACCGACAGCCCTCGACGCGCTCATCTTCCCGATGGCTACAGAGAGCTTCGGTAGGTGACTGAATGCAAGGAGAGCGCCGAGGCCCAGGCACGGTACGGACACGGTCCAGCCGGGGGCGCACTCGCGTTGCCATGCATCGCCGCCGCCTCCGCGGCGATGCAGGGGCCAACGGCGGCGAAGAGGGCATTGAGTTTGTCCGCCCGGGTGCCCATGTTGTAATCGGGCATGTCGCGTCCTCTCAATGGCTGCAGTCCGAACTGCATGAGGCGGCTCCAGAAGCATCGCCGCCCTGTTAGTGGACCGCTGCACGGGAAGGAGTGTCGCGCGAGTGTGACAGTCCCTTCACTCTGTCACGGCACCACTGGTACACGTAGCGCGCCTCTGTGGTACGGCAGCGCTCCCTGGTCTTGCAGACGCGCTCGCGCTCCCCCACAGCCGCGGAGACTTCGGTATCTCTACGCAGGCATGGACATGACGTCACGCCACGCCGACATGACGTCACGGTGATGGTCGGACGGTGATCCTCAACTGCGGCATTACACGTGTCCATAAATGCAGTCACCGTGTCATCGGCGGTGCCGGTGGTGTAGAGCGGCTCTCAATCGGTGAGCAGCAGACTCAGGTTGTACGCGTCCTAGTCGACGCGTCTCCACGGTCGCACGGCGGTGGTGACTGACCGCTGGCGCACTCCGCGGACGGGAGCGCGGAGCAGCACCGGTTGGTGATCCGCCACAGGCCCGAGGAGAACCTCGCCTGAGTCCCGGAGACCGGTCGCGTTGGTGACGATCAAGTCCAGTAGTGTGAGTGTCGGGTGAAGGTGGGCGGGCTTGGCGACAAACTGTTCGATGCTCACGCTTCTCAGGATGCGTTGTGTTACATCACGTATCACAAGTATTCGCATTAGAAGCCATGTAGGGGAAGTTGAGTCGTTAGCAGCAATTGCGTTAGAAGTTCTGCCGTGGGACCGGTCTGAGCCAGTCACGCAGCCAGAGCCTTAGCAAGGGGGTGGGAGGGGGCACAGGTTTGACAAAGGACCTGCTGATAGTGAAAAGGCTCCCCAAAAAAGTTACCAGATATGCCTAATTTGTTAATGACGGCATGCCTTTCGTTGATTTTTTATTGTTCCCTTCAATAACTGGGATACAAGCCAGAAGCTACCGCGAGACAAATTCTGGCTGAATTTTGTATTCAAGAAACTGAAGAAATTATGCTTAAGCGACTGCATGAAAGAAACCGCAGGCGCTCTTATATTTTATAATGGTCCGGTTGGCTCTTTTTATATCGACATAACCCAGAAGCTTTCTCATAATGTTTTATCTAAGCTCTGCAAAGATATTAGGGGCCCCGTGAATGTAGATTGCGGGTCAAAATGGGTCAACAATTTGTTTTAAACGGGCCAAGCCATGTTTGACTGGAAACGTTCAACATTCAGCCAGGATCGATTAGTGAAGCAAAGTATGTACGGAGTTCTGAACATGCGCGCCCAGAAATCTTGGTAACAAGAGCCTCGACGCCAGGCGTTGCAGTCTCCAAGGCCGCGCAGCGTTGGCTCATGTTTTACATTAAGCTGTGGCCAACAGGTGGACGACAATGATTACGTACCTGAAGAAGTACCTTTAAACGACTTCGGACGTCAAATTGCATACTTAGAAGGTAGTCTGGGAATATAATTCACCAGTGCTACTTTTAGATTGATGTTAAGAACAGATTGCATCTACAGTACCGCTAAGTGGTGCTGGTTAGAATCTGGTGGTGGATAAGTGCTCATCTGTCCAAAAGACATTCTCAACGTTGGAAAAAAGATGCGCCCAATCTCATCTTTAAACGGTGCGCATCAATGTTGAAAGACATTCGGAAACATCATTTCACGACGGTCGTTCTTGCGCCGGGCGCGACGTGCTACTTGCAACGGATAACAGCCGTTCAGTCTTACGGAAACTGCAACCCAGACCACTGCTGTCCTTGCCCCCGAGATTTCGGGCGCGCAGGCTCAAACCTTTTGATATAATACGTTTCACTTATCGATTTTGCAAAATAATGAACGTTCTCAGGTAAGCATGGGATGACCATGTTCGTTTCTAAACTCATCTCGACCTAGCCCAGTCAGAAACCGAAGGGCCATTCCATTCCACCGCGGGGTGTCATCCGGCTGTCATTCTGGCGAAACTGGGCAGGATCCCCTGGTTCATCCGGAGGCCCTTAGAGGGATACATCATGTCACATCGGTCCCTTCCTGACACGGAAGGCCTTCTGACTCGCGCACTTGGTCCCAGATCGAAGCAGCGACCCTCCTTAACGCAACAATATTCTTGGTCGCCGCAGGTGGTCTCATGATTGGCGTATAGACTCCTGTTCGACTTGGGCCATGCTGGAAATGGGCTGCAGAGCCCGCCGTTCGCCATTGGTGGCTCTGATTGGCTCAGGACTCTTATTGCCTCAATGAGAAGACTTTTATTAGGTTATAATATTTCCTTTCATTGTCAGAGGGCCCCGACCAACGCAAGATGTCCTGTTCTCATTCGAGGTCCCGTCCCTGTCCACGTTAAGCAAATGCTCCGCTAACCAACTCGAGATCCCTTGCTGACATAGAACACGCTATTAAGCACTGGGCCCCAGACCGGTGCAGGAGTGCCGCATCGTTGCAGAGTCCCCACGATCAATGCAAGTCGCTGGCCCGGCCGCTTGTCCCTGCTTGGGAAACGGGCCCCACGAGCTCAGACCGACACGGAGCCGAATGCTCGGTGTTGGTGATTATTGACCGAAATAGAGGAAACTCTGTCTCAGAGATTGCCAATCGGTACAATAGACCCTCTTACTGGCATTTGAGATCGCGGCCTTACGGCCAGGGTACTAAATGTGACCCACAGGCAGCCTTCGGATCCTTCAGTCTTCCAATATTTGGTCCTGATGGGCCCACTTCCCCTCTTCGGACCTCCTCAATCACAGCCTGTGACCGACTTGGGGTCACTACCCCACACGTGACCTTCTGTTAGGCATTGTGGCTCCTGACCGACACAGGGGTCCCAACCATTGTTTCAGGGACCCAGACTGATGCAAGTCGTGGCCCGGGCCTTGCTCCCGCTTGGGAAATGAGTCCCCAGGGCTCAGACTTACATGGAGCCAATTGTTCGTTGCTTGAGGTCTCTGGCCGACCGAGAAACCTGCACTGGCTTAGGAGTCCTCAAACGACGCAAGCTGACCTCTGGCTGATATTTTAGATCATGGCCTTTCGGGCCGCGATTCTTCACGTGACCTACGGCCAGTCCTTCGGGCCCTTATGTCCTCCAACCGAGCCCTTGATCGTCGGTTCTGCTGTGCCGCCCGGGCCCCTCTTCATGCCTCATCGAACACTGCCCTTGGTCGGCTTGCGAGCCCCTGCAACCACAGGACCCTTCTTTAGGCATTGCTGGCCCCTGACAGATACAGAGGCTCCGACCAGTGGAAATCGCTGGCCCCGGCTTTGTAGCTGATTAGGAAGTTGGCTCTCAGGCTCATGTAGACACGGAGCTGACTGTGCGGTGCTGGTTGTGTCTGGCCGATGCATGGGCCCATGTCCACTCAGGTTTCCCCGATCGGCGCAAAAGGCCCTCTGACTGTCATTTGAGGGTCCATCCCTGCAGGCTGGAGCCCCTGAATAAGGCACGTCCAGCACTTCGTGCCCATAAGCCTTTCAATCGGGCCCTTGATCATCGGTCCCTATGGGCCCTCTATGCGCTTTGGGCCCCTCGAACACTGCCCCTGCCAGACTTGAGCCCCTCGCCAACACAGGGCCCTCTCTTAGCCACTACGGGGCCCCTGTCAGGCATTGGTGCCCCGAACAATTTAAATTGTTGGCTCCTGCTCTGTCTCTGCTTGGGGTATAGGCTCTCAGGCCCATGCCGACACGGAGCCGTCTGTGAGCCATTGGTGGTGTCTGACCAACAGCTAGGCTCTTATCGACTAAGGGGCACCTGATCGGCACGGAGGGCTCCCTGAATGATACTGAAGTGCTCGGTCCTGTGGGCCGGGTCCCTGAATGCGACCTCCAGTCGGTCTTTCCGGCCCTTAATCGTAGGTCTAGGGGGGCATTCGGAACCTAACGAGGGGGGGACACCTCCCCTGTGCCCCCCCCCCCTTCCCAGGGATGCGCATGCCTGATCTGAACGACGTGCTGGCATGGGATAGAAGAAATGCCACGCGGAAATAATCACGGAGGAATTGCACTGTCATCCTACGTTTACCTGCCGATGTTGCTCGTGCTGTTCCCTCGTACAGAACACGTATGTACGTTTGGGTCGCATGCAGATGATAACGTTCATCTTTTCGGTCGCCCCGGAGTGCCCCCAGCGTTTAGCCAGATCGGCCGGTCACCCCGGAGTGCCCACAGCGTTTAGCCAGATCGGCCGGTCGCCCCGGAATGCCTACAGCGTTTAGCCAGATCGGCCGGTCGCCCCGGAGTACCCACAGCGCTTAGCCAGTACCTCTAGTGTTTACTGAGCTCGGCTTTCCTCGACAGATGAGCAGTATGAATTCGAGGTGAGGTTTCGGCAAGCAGAAGACTACCCTCTGGATCTGTACTACCTCATGGACCTTACTTACTCCCAGTGGGACGACAAAGACAAGCTGGAGACCCTGGGTGAGGAATACGCGATGGCAATACTTGTATGCACAACTTCTTGGTCAACGGCGCGGTTTAGCCCGCGCACTGGAGGGTCAGGGGAAATTACTCGCCCTGGAAGGGGATCACGTCCTTCCCTACTGTCTCTGGGAGCATAAGATTAAGAGTTACTAAGCTCACGGGGGTGATACTAAAAGAAACTATGCTGTGTAAGAAAATCGTGACCATGGTCAATATATTCAAGGTCAAGGAGAAAGTGGGCAGGACTTTTTCAAGTATGTGTGGGTATAAGGAGGAGGAGGAGGGTGGGGAGCTAAAGTATTTCTTGCGGTATCTATCGGCTTCTATGTATAGTCACAGTATCGTGACAATAAAGAGCTTAACTATGCCTTCATCACCCCCTTCCCACTCCCTTTCAGGCAAGGACATGGCCATCACGCTACGTAGCCTCACCAAAAACTTCCGCGTCGGGTTCGGCAGCTTCGTGGACAAGCCGGTGATGCCGTACGTGTCCCAGGTGCCGCAGGACCTGCAGAACCCCTGCGCCATCTACGGCCGCGAATGTGTGGCGGCGTACGGCTTCAGGAATCACCTCAACCTCACCAATGACGTGTATCGCTTCACGGCGCAGGTCAGTCGTCGAGAGCACTGCCCCGAGCGATGCACCGCTGACGCACTCAGTTTCACAGGCAAGGTCAGAGCATCACAAGCTGTACGCTAATAGCCTCAGCTCATGCTCGCAGAAGTGAGTTTAAAAGCTATGTGCCAGTAGCCTCAGTTCATGTTCTCAGCCAGAGAGTTTATAAGCTGCACGCTACTAGCCTCAGTTCGTGTTCGCAGCAGTGAGTGTACAAGCCGCACGCTTCTAGCCTCAGTTCATGTTCACAGCAGTGAGTGTACAAGCTGCACGCTAATAGCCTCAGTTCATGTTCACAGCCAATGAGTTTACAAGCTGCACGCTACTAGCCTCAGTTCATGTTCACAACAGTGAGTGTACAAGCTGCACGCTGCCAGCCTGCTAGCCTCAGTTCATGTTCACAGCAGCGTGTGTACAAGCTACGCGCTAATAGCCTCAGCTCATATTCACAGCAGTGGGTGTATAAGCTACTACTAGCCTTACTTCATGTGTACGGCAGTGAGTGTACAAGCTGCACGCTGCTAGCATCAGTTGATGTTCACAGCAGCGAGTTTACAAGCTACGCGATAATAGCCTCAGCTCATATTTAGTCAGTGAGTGTACCGCGCAGCCCACGAATGCGGGAACATCATCGGTAAAAGCTTCGTGACATGGTCCCGTCCTTCACACCGCCGTGTTACCAACACAGCAGCGGCAGTGTGTCTGCTGGGCGTTAAGGTCATTCCATCGTCACGGATGGTGACATGGTTTCTTCGCACATCTGGCACAAAAGTGGTCCACGGTTATGCTTGTTATTCTGCCGAACCGAGCAGAAAAACGTAAATAAATTGTGGCTTGTGGTAGGGTACCTTTTGGCACCTTTCAAGGTATAAGCTTTGCCAGTGAGTATTTCATGCAATCGGCACATGGAAAGTCGTTTCGTTGTGCGACGGTTCGAAACAGGATTTCCATATAAAGGCCATCGACATGAATACATCGACTCCAGGCCGTTTCCCGGTGGAATCCTTTGACCTTCTGATAACAATTATTTATGGATTCCGTGGTCTGTCAACCCCTTGAGATCCACTCTCAGCCGGGCAAAAATTGAAATGGGCTGTGTAAATGCTTGAGCGAAGTACAGAGTGTGGAGAGAAAGAGACTCCCAGTTGTATTTGACGTCGGTTGTGAAGTCAAACAAAGAGTCTAGTTTAACAAGTCAGAGGTGGTCTGTCGGTCAGGCTGCAGGAACACAATCATCCGGGGTGAGACTCTGATGTCTGGTGTGGCAGGGCATGCTTGGTCAGACGGCTATCGCGTACCAGCATGTGATGGAGTAAGCATCATCGACTGAGAGCATCACTGGAAAATGTCGGGAAGACCAAGGAGACAGCACGCATGACATTGACTAATAACGCCATTAGTAAGCCAAGTATAGACCTCAGCTCAAGATAATTCCCAGTTCTGCGGATAAATCACCAAATATCCAGATAAATGGCATCAAGTCCTAACACTGAAAGATTGGCATTTTGGCCGGCTGAGTTTATAGAGCACTGGCCTCGCAATTAAAGAAGACGATAGTTTCCAGAAATTTCCAAGCAGAGAATTCGGGTTGTGATGCATACATGGCCAAGTTCCTCCCAGTCCTTCTCAGGACTCCATAACAGCTGACGGCGACCGGAGAGTTAACCGGCCGAGGCGCTGTGTAACTAACACGCCAGACGATACGGTAGTCCGAACAATGACTCCATCCACGCCTCTTTTCAGCCCTTCCGTAAAATTACTTTATCCTGGCTGCCTCCCTGTCGGTAGGTGTGCAGTACTTGTAGAAACTACTGACCTTGACATGGCTCACGATAAACGAACATTGACTAAAATGAACATCTAAGTCCGTCTTGCTGCACACGACACCAATGTCAAAAATAATGGCGCGGCCCTTGTACAACGCAGTCGACCAATCCACATCGTTATCGGACCTACCATTATCGTGTAATTTGTGTGGACGTAAGGCATAAGCCGAAGAAGCAACGGTTTGTAAATCTGAGTTCGATAAACGTGTTTTGGCTATTGAATGTCAGGGAAATTGCTCGAAAACGATTATTTCCTGGTCAAAGTGTTTGGTAATACTTAACCCCACCCTCCCCCCAAACAAATTTAAAAAGTTTTTCAGCATACAAAGCTTTCGTGAAAACGGCTACCACCCCAGATGAACATTGCTGGTGCGGTGACTCGACCTCCAATTTCCTTGAGTCAGATCACTGCGACGAACGTGCAGCAGCGTCGAGTACAGGTCTGGTGTCGGCCGGCATGGGAACCTCGTGCCGGCGCAGCACGTGGACGCCTGAGTCGGAACACGGGTAGCCTGCAGCCCCGCAAGTGCTCTCGGCGGTCACGTTTGAGTGGATTCACGCACGCTGCCGCTCACGCTAGTCTATTCCTAGCCGGTCGATGACTTCCGAGTCCTCCACGGTGGTGATCGTGCGTTATTAAGAGATGGAAATGTAATTGTGCCCCGAAATTGACAACTATGGTAGCCGGTCTGTTGCGAATGAGCACGTTTCGATGCTCTTCACTGCCATACCAGCCAACCGTGTTTTTAATTAGTCAGCTTCCTCCATCATTCATCGGCAAAACAGCAGGTTGGGTGGCCCATTTGGTCCATTTTCAGTTTCATCATTGGACTTAGGATGTTTTGCCATTCTGTCGTCTTATGTTTAGATCCTCATCCCTGGCAAGGTACATGTAAGCATGTTATCATTTTAGTCATCTTCAGTTCCAATACATGTCTTTATCGTATGTTTGCCATTTGGTGAGTTACTGTCATCATTTCCATGCCACTTCAATTCATATTTTATTCTTTGACAATTCAGCTATTTTTTTAACGATGCTTTTTGTCCTTGTCGATGCCTATGCCGTCGAGTTTAGCTTTCGACAGACTTAATTCAGTGTTGCTTCTTGATCAGTGATCATACACTTTTTGGTCTTCCAATGATAATAACGAATTTTGCACGACTCACAGATGTACTTCAGTGCAATTTGTTGCCTGATCTTTTGGCCTCAAAATGGCAAAACAGGGGAAAAAGATGGTTGAGTCTGCGAATTATCTGCGCTAGGACACACACACACACACATACACACACACACACACACACACACACACACACACACACACACACACACACACACACACACACACACACACACACACACACACACACACACACACACACACACACACCACACACACACACACACACACACACACCACACCACACACACACACACACACACACACACACACACACATGTACATATAAACATATGTATCTGCGGGATGGTTGTATAGCATCATCAATATCCGGGTGACCTTGAAATATTTGAATACCTGTATCGATGTCAGTTGCTTATCGTTGTTTAGCCAGCATATCCTGGTACAGTGACGGCCCTCAGGTTATTTCCAACAGAAAATATGACTCAGACTGACTTCCAACCACATGCTAATCGAGACTAGTCAATCCAGCAAAAATAATTACCACTTCCTGGCCGTGATATTGTGCGCTGCGTCCGTGGTTCAATCCTAGCCTTGGGTTTCCCTCAAACTGTCATCGCACACGACTGGCTGATGTTTGTTCGTGACCTGACCTTGGCACTGGTCCACAGGTGAGCGCCGCCAGGGTGTCAGCCAACGTGGACGACCCGGAGGGCGGCCTGGATGCGCTCGTCCAGGCCGTCAGCTGCTCCGACATCGTAGGCTGGAACAAGAGTGCGCGCAAGCTGCTGATCTACTCCAGCAACGGACTGTTCCATCTGGCTGGGCAGGGCATGGTATGTCGTCTTTCTACTCCAGCAACGGACTGTTCCATCTGGCTGGGCAGGGCATGGTATGTCGTCTTTCTACTCCAGCAACGGACTGTTCCATCTGGCTGGGCAGGGCATGGTATGTCGTCTTTCTACTCCAGCAACGGACTGTTCCATCGGGCTGGGCAGGGCATGGTATGTAGTCTTTCTACTCCAGCGGCGGACTGTTCCATCGGGCTGGGCAGGGCATATGGTCATTCTACTCCAGCAACGAACTGTTCCATCTGGCTGGGCAGGGCATGGTATGTAGTCTTTCTACTCCAGCGGCGGACTGTTCCATCGGGCTGGGCAGGGCATGGTATGTAGTCTTTCTACTCCAGCGGCGGACTGTTCCATCACGGACTGTTCCATCTGCGGGCAGGGCATGGTATGTCGTCTTTCTACTCCAGCAACGGACTGTTCCATCGGGCCGGGCAGGGCATGGTATGTCGTCTTTCTACTCCAGCAACGGACTGTTCCATCGGACTGGGCAGGGCATATGGCCTTTGTATTCCAGCGACGGACTGTTCAATCTGGCAGGACAGAGCATGGTATGAAGTCTTTCTTTGAAACAACTGCGCGAGCCCACCGGATGGAAACACTTCAGCGCTCCTTGACAATGACAGCGAAGTGCCACGTGACCACGGCGGTCACTTGAACGGTCGGAGGCGGCGCGGGGGTCGGCCGAGGGCGCGTATACACCTGCGCAATGTGGTCTGTGTCGTGCGCCAAAGTTTCATCTTGAATCATTGGGAAAATGCAGAAATCTTATCATTCACTTTTATCTTGTACTCATGTCATCCATTCTTATCATCAGAAGTCATAACATTCTATGCTACGATGCGAATCGTATCGTGCGCCACCGCGTCGCGTCGAGGCCGCAGCTCCCAGAGACAATCCGCGACGTCATCGCTGGCGTTCCGAGGTGACCGCGCCCGCTCGGAGCTCGGAGCGCGTTCCCGCCGGCCGGAAGGCAGGCGCCCAGCTCTGCGAGGGTATCGTCGACCGCGCTGTCCAACAATCAGCCGCGTGTGCCGGGGACGCAGTCATCCAGGCTCGGCAGACGGCCTCGGACCGGAAATCCAGTCAAGGCGACGTACACGGCGCAGATCACGCGCTACTGGAAGGATGAACTCGCGGCAGCCGGAGTCAACGCGGTAGTTGATGCCCACGGTGTCAAGCCCCCCCCCCCCCCCCCTCCCCCCGACCAGTCTGATAAGACGCCTGACGGCTGCATGGGGGCAACATTGAGCTCAGGCCCAACGGCGTCAAACGCGCGACACTTCTGCGCGGCCGGTCGAAGCTCACTCAACAGTGAGCGCGAAAAAGGTACACATCACCCTTCGCACGAGATGTGGAATTGTTAACGAGTCAACTGCCACAAGGAAGGTTGTACAAGGTTTTTGTGTTTGGTAATCAGTGTGGCCACTCAAATTAAATGTCCATCAGGTGAAACTTAATAAAACGGCAGCAATATTTGCCATGAATCGCCAGAATAGGTTCTGATATTTGTGAGAATGTGGTATTACAATTATCATGTCATGTTTTAAGGTTCAGACAATTATATCAGGCATCATGATGATTTCCTATGTCTGGCGAGGCGGAGCTAAACTGTTGGGCTCCTCGGGAAGGGGATGGGGCATCTCAACGCGGCCCAGGCCAGTCCGTAGAGCGCCTCTGTTCGCGGCTGAATTGCTGCACCACCGCATTCAGTACTTACTTTTCCAGGCACGGCTTCGACATATAATGCCCTTATTGCCCAAACATCTGTGGCCCAGCATGTGCCCCGAGAAACTCTGTGGTCATGCGGCGAAGCTATGCATTTTTGAGAGGGACATGGTCCCCAACGAGCAGCCGCCTCTCCCCACACCACACAATAACAGAACATCAATGCTAAAAGTAGTCTAGGGGGCACATTAGAGGGCACATGGAGGAGAACATTCCTTCCAAATATTGGTTTCGGTCTCCCAATGTTGTTTGCTTACGAAGTTTAACTTCTGTGGTCCGAAGTCGCTCCTTTCATGCACTTCAAACACATGTCGAAGTTGGAGCTCGTTTCCATAAAGCTCGCGAATTAAACCAGCAAACGGCAGTTTCGGAGACGAGCTCGAACAAGCGGCACACTCAGCGGCAGGCCCCGCTGTTTACCACTGCGCCATCGCAGCCCAGCGCCTTTGTTTCTCCGCCCCACTGCGGACTGGTGGAGTACAGCTCGTTGAGCAGGTCCAAGACCCGGCCTGACTAAGGGGTGAAGCGCGTCACATACCTGCCGCTTGGTTTGGAGATCTGAACTGCATGATCTTTGATCTTTGTGTCAGGAGTGTCAGCGGTGCATGTCCTCCCGCCTCTCCCACCGAAGTGTAGGCTTGTGATGCCGGACTCAAGCATGTCTTCAACCTGCTCTTACGCTGCATCTGTTCTCATACGGTGTCTGGCGCGCCGAACCATTTCAGGATCGATGTTTTTACTTTTCAGTCGCTGTGCCTCGGTCAGTGTTAGCTTGGAGCTCGTTAACCATTAACGCAGCAGTCCGGTATGACACATAACGTTCGTGAGCTTTCATTGCCTGGGAGCCAATGAGAGTCTAGCACGGCATGGGAGGGATATTCTAGGGACTCGCGTTCAGGTTCACCGGTGCAGTTTGCTGTGTCGTTTGTTCACCACCAATGATCTTCCCTCACTCGTGTGCCACGGACATGTATATGTTTCTGGTGGTTCAAGATTGATGGCACAAGCTGCAGTGTGCACAAAGTTGGCTTCATTTCATACTTCACCCACATTTGTATCGGGAGGAAAGATAACAGCACAAGACAGGCAAGGAAGAAGCGAAAATTCCTACTGCGTTTTAATGACGCTGACACCTGATGATAAAATAAGCAGTGGTACGCCTAATAATCTTAAGGAGGTCCTTAAATGCGCAAAGACCTAAGAAGGGCTTAATACACGTGTTTCTCACTCATCGAGCCTACCGGTTCCCTGCTTTGTCGCCGATACAACAGGAGGGAGGCTCCTGAGCCATGACGTCATTGGGCCTGACCGAACAACAAGCGCACCTGTAAAATGAAGCAAACTATCGGAAGAGTGACGCAACAACAAAAATGTGACAATCATAATTGTATGTGCACGGGCAAACACCGCTATCTAGCGTCCATATCAGCAACATGTCGCTCGAAATTGCGTTTTTGCGCAGCTTGCAACTCGAAATCAGGTCAAACTCTGTCTAACAGGGGAGGGTGCTACATCGTGTGTTTATTGATGTAGTTAAAACAGTTGTGTGGGGTATTGTGGCAGTCATCATGCTAAGCGGCATGTATTTGGCCAACGGTAGATAAAACTAGTCCCAGGGTAAAATGGCGAGTTAGGGAAATACTCTGCGTCGTAATGGCATAATGAAATACAAGGTAAATAATGACTCAAATATAATTGCATGGTGTCGGGCCCAGTGCCTGCCCAAACCACACTCGGGTCGGTAGGGCTGGTTACCTTATTAAGTTATTTTTGTGAAACTGCATCTTCAAGCCGGTAAGCGCCTTAGAACGGCGCTTTTGAAGAAACATTGTCATCCATAAATTGCATTCTCTTAAATCAATATCGAAGGAATACGCTATCTCACTGCCAGCTGGTCACGTGCTCGATCCTTTTCCGTATAATATGAGGCACACGTCGCGCTTGGGCTGGGTGCCACGAATCTATCTGTATTACTAAATGAGCGGCGTGCTCGTGTCCGCCACTTGATTGGGATCACCTGCAGGCTAGACGGTAAGGAATTTTTCAATGAAGTTGGCACACGACCGAGGTCCGCTGGCAGCGCGTGACAGAGTCGTGTCAAAATTCTGCATTGCGCAAAAGTGAGCGCGTGCCGAGCGACAAACGAGCGCAAAAATCCCCATAGCTTTATCACGGGCGACCCCAATTTAGCGATGCCGGCCGACGACCCGACACGCTTGGCTTCCCGGAGCCGTATCTCAATAAGCAAGGGTCGCAGCGACATTAAACTTGCACAGTGGGATAGAGCATTGATTAGGCCATCGCAATCTGGTGCGTTTTTCCTCCACGTGACACGTGGTACGTGCACACGTGTTGACAAGATGAAATCGGCCGTGTTTGACGTTTTTTTACGTGTATTATTAAACCTCGGCACGCAAAGCGCGTAGAGACCTGAATGTTGTTTCCCAGCATTCACAATCAAAGCGGCTTCACTTTTACCTTATTGTGAGTTTGTGCAATGTACTGTTGCGCTGCAAATTGTAATACTATTTGCAACGGGCCGAGTTTTAAAAACCGTTGCCGAATACAAGTCGCTACCATCAAACTTACGCATGATTTGGCATTGAAAAATACATCGGCTTGTCGGCCGATTTGTCCTGTCCCTGATGCACCCTTTTGTTTCTCACATTAAAAAAAATGTTGCTTGCAAATGAGCCTAGACTAAGGGTTGCATGACGGCTTTTTCGCCGCGACGGCAACAAGTTATTGCCCCGACTCCCGGCGTACATCGAAGGCGTTAAGGGCTAAAATGACCGTTCGCGCCGCGGGCTGTCGACTTTGTTCATATTCCTGGTCTTCATATTAGAGAACGAGCACTCTGGTGTGCCTTCAGCCTGTACAAGTCCAGGCAGGCGGACGGGCTCTCCCTACGCGCGGTTTCTGCCCACGCATTGTGGTCGGCGGCGCGCTGTGCGTGATGGCCCCCGGGTCCGCCGTGCACTCACAGGCGTGGATTTTGTTTCCCAATGTTCACAATTGACGCGGGTGCACGTTCAGTCGCATCGCTAGTTAGTGCAATGCACCGTTACGCTCCGCATTGCAGGACAAATTGCCAGATGCCGGCGCCTAATACACCAGCCGCTTCCGTCAAAACTGCGTGTGATCACATCTCGGCACCCAGGGCACGGAGCCACTGGGGAGTGGTATGCATTGATAAGAAGTCGAACAGACAATGACCCTGCTTGAATTATTATGTTGCACGTGCTGCGTGTAACGCGTGCACGAACCAGCAAGATCGATTTGGTCGTTACCGGCCGTTTTTGACATTTTGCGCTACATCTCGGCAGCCAGGGCACCTAAAACCGTGGTGATGGGTGGCTTTCACAAAGGATGATGGATTTTGCTCTTTTCCACAGTTCTACACATTTTGTGTCACATCTCTGCACCCAGGGCACGGACGCACCCGGGAATAGCATGCATTGATGGTAAATCGAACGGACAATCACGTGCTCTAGATTGTAACGTCACATGTGCGCGAGCCAGGACAATTGATTTAGCCGCTACCGACCGTTTTTCACTGTTCGATACACTACAATGATGTTTAATACAACGGCAGTGCGCGCTGCTAACATTCAAAATGCTGACAGTTGATGGAAGGGGTAAACATCACCGACCACGTCCCGCGGTCAGTCGCCGATCCCATGGAATAGGTTCGGCTGTGTTGCAGAGAGCGCAGGCGAAATGCGCTCGCTCCTGCCGGCAGCCGCCCGAGGGCACCAGCACCGCACGCGGCCTGAGGCCGAGTCTTTTTCACACTTCGCGCGATATTTCGGCAACCAGGGCACCCAGAACTGTGATTTAGACTGAGAAATATATACAATTAAAATTTCTAAATTTTTCACGTAGTGCAGCGAAGCAGGCGTGCAAGCGCTTGTAATATCTAAATCTCGGAATAAACGGCCTACATTCGCAAAGTTTGATCAGTTGCATAAATGCCAGCAGTCTTTGCTGGCCGGCTTTAAAAAAGATGTTCTTACAGGCAATTTGTCTCTTTCGTGCAACCGCATTGCCATAGCCCAAGGTATTTTGGACTTTGCACTACGTCATGCGTCTCGATGTCCCTGCGTTCCGGCATGGCTCACTAGTGTGAATACGTGACACCCTCCTGACTGGGTGTCATGTGGTTTCAGCTGGGAGGAGCTGCGAAGAGGAATGACATGCGGTGTCATCTCGACGAAAAGGGCTTCTACACACTGAGTACGGTCCAGGACTATCCATCCGCGGAAGAATTGGATGGCCTGCTAAGGAGCGAAAATGTAAGTTGCCAGTATGCCATTTTGTACGCTAACGTGGCTTGAACGTAACTATTGTGTTTGCGGCGTACCTGAGGTGCAGCTGTACTGCGTGACTGTAGTGTGAATGCACTGCGCAGCTGAGACACATCTCAAATAACTATGTATTTGTACCAGTCCAATTACCATCAGTTATGCTTGTGAAAGTGTCGCAAAGCGATTTAAAAGAGATGCTCGATTGTTGCATTGAAGCGGCGGATATCCACCGCAGCTAGCCCACTGTCGTAATGGATGTTTACATTCCATAGGTCACGTTCACGCGATCAGAGCTGGGGTCGGTTTGGCCACCCGTATTTTTTCCGGAATAGCTTCCGAACAGTGTGACGGAGCTCCGTTACAAGTTGTTTAGCTGAAGGCAACTGCATATCTGAACTTTCTGTGGAACTAAATAGAAATGTTTATTAAAGTCACAGGCCTGTAGCGTTCACAGTGAGGTAGTGGCTGTCAGCGAATGTAATTCCTAGGGAAACTTTCAAAAACTTTGGGATGGTTTCGTAGGCAATTTGAGACAAGGATTATGACTAGCGCTATTGGCCTTCCGTCAGTTATCATGTTATATTAAGGGCAAAAAACGAGCCGCGTTTTTATTTTTGCTGCATTGAAAAACATGCTTGAAGGGATATTAGTTTCCTTTGAATTCGAATTCCTTGGTCACTTGGACGTTAACAGATTTATTCCTTAGCTCAATGGAGGCTTGTTGGCAAATCACTGACTTGAAATGGTCTCTTTTAAACCCAAAATAATATCGAAGGGCTCTAGTCATTTCGGTTTTCTTCAGGTCAAATAAGGCCACTGATCTGATATGAACTCAAGTGATCTTTTGCTTATAAATTGCAGCTAGGTTAAAGCCGATCGCGTGATGATTTCTTTTTAGGGTATTACGCACAGTAATCTCGAGCTCGGCCTTGTCTGACCTTTTGTGACCCGAATTTCACAACCAAGGGACCTAAAATTTGAAGCAAGTGAGTTTACAAAGAACACTACCTGTTCTGTCAGAATAATGACTCCAGCTCTCTCAGCCCTTGCGATTTTCGGGCGGTTAAGTTGTCTACCCTCAGCCCCTTTCGAGTGCGTTGCATTCAACCGGCCACCTGGGCGTGTGTTTACTCACCCGAAAATGTTGTCTTCCAGCTTGGTACAACTGTTTATCCCCGTACTGCACGGGTGCCTGCGGTACCTCTAGGTGCATTTCTGCACGAGTGCAGTTCTTACCATATTTGCCCGATGGTAAATAGCATAATCCTTCCCATCCTAATTATTATCAACATCCTAATCCGAGCTGGTTTCTGGTTAGCGTGTCGTCGCAATGAAGAATGGATCGTGGTAAAACAAATTTGAATTATTACTAGCTTTATAATTTCAGATGAACGTGGTCTTCGCCGTGACCAAGAAGTATAAAGATCGTTACGAAAAACTAACAGAAATCATGAAAGCCAAAGTGGAAGTTGAAGAACTGCTTGAAGACTCGTCCAACATCTTGGCTGTAATCAAGAAGCAGTATGAGGTAAAAAAAAGATGAAATTATATTTTCCTACGAGCCGAAGATTGAATGGAAACGTCGGACCAGCTCCGAAGGCACATTTTGAATTGTGAGATGACGTGCAAAACACTCCTATATGACAGGATATATCATAAACCTGGTGTTTTGTGCCGTTTTGGTCTCATAAAAATGTAGAATGTCGACCACAGGAGTTTCCTGGGCTCAGCAGTGCGCGTGCTGCTGGCAACACCTGGCGAACTGGCATGTGCGCTGTGACGTCACCACTGCGATCTGGCCTATGCGCTGTGACGTCACCAGGCCAGGCCATGTGACCTGCGGCGCTGTCAACAGGCCATCACGTCACGGATCGAGCTGCTGGACGACGCCGACGCCGACGTCCGCGTCCGCTACCGCTCCAGCTGCCTCGGCTCGGACGTGCAGGAGCGCAACAACTGCACTGGCATCAAGACGGGCGACCAGGTGTCGTTCATGGTGAAGCTGGAGCCTCTTGGCTGCCCGGCCGAGAAGGTATGTGCTCGCGCCGATCTGGCCCCGCCTCCACAGCTGCCGACGGTCCCATAGGCTCGTTTCAGGTATAGCTGGAGTGTTGCTGTCGACCTAGGCTGTCGTGCTGCTTTGTAATGAATATGGGTGGCTTTAGAGACAGCAGCGATAGCGCATTGCCCGCTATGACGTCAGGTTAAATCAAGCAACGTGTCCGGCCTGTCGAGGTCAGATTTCTGATTCGGTCCGCTCTCTGACGGAATGGTGATATCACTGAGTGAAGTCTCGACTGTTGTCATGGAGGAAATCAGACCAAAAATAACGCTTGTATATATATATATATATATATATACATATATATATATATATATATATATATGTATAACATTTTATTTGTATTTGAAGGTTTTATTAAACGACGAGCAAGGCAATGGGCACGCTATGACCATGTATCTTTGCTGTAGGTGGTTTGAGATTTGAAGAGAAACCAAGAGTGTATTCTTTTCCCGCACTTTGAACACCTTGGAAGCATTCGACGTCCATTCGTTCAGAAATTATTTTAGGTCGAATTGCTAAGGAGTTGAAAGAAGGATCGCCCTATTTCTATAGCTGCTATAAACCAATTTGCAATACATAGCATGCCCTTGTAAGTGCGGTACTATAAAATATAGTATGCATATGAAGTGATAAGACCAGTGAGTCTCTCATTGGTTGCAGTTAAAAGCTATTCATTTGCATTTTCGGGTCATTAGATGATCTTTCAGGTCAAGATTCTGACCTCATGGTGGCCATATCGGAAACGAAATAACATGTTTTGTCCGTGAACTTACACACAAAGAGTAATTCCGTGAACACCAGCATCTTTTTTGCCGTCTTCCGGGTCTGGGATTGTCCGGATTTCGAGTCTGGTTCTAATGTGAGACTTCTCAGGTCACCGTGGCATCATCACAGCTGAAATTCCCATTAGAACGCATGATGCATATGGCACCACCACCTACCATGCTGGTCAGGGTGGAGTGACGGAAAACAACCGACACTATGACGATCGTCTAAGCTGTCCAACTGCCCTTTTTATCGCTTGGTTAATTTACGCCCTCTCAAGACAAGCTGTGTCATTCCTATCGCGCGTGCTTTGCATTGTCATGCTACTGAATATTTTCGCTGCGGTCATCAGAAAACGTGAGTTCAGTTTTCTGACCTAGTTTTGATTTTAATTGGCAATAATTTGTCTTTTGTGCATTTAGCCTTTGGCAGATGAAGTTCAAAACTGCCCACGAAGCCGAGTATTCTCTCTATCTGTCATATGATAACCACCTACGTTTCGACGACACGATAAATAGCACCCGGCACAACGTGGCGAACGTTCTCAGATGACTTAGATTTGAAACCATGCGAAAGACTTGTATCAGGTCCAGCGAGGTTGGAAGTACTGTAAAGGGTTGCAATGATTATCATAGTACAGATGTTACGTAGTTAACAGTAAGGAGAACAACTGCACTCAAGCTGTACTAAGCACATATTGTAACTGCAATCACAATTTATAAGCGATGTCAGCGTAGCCAATTTGCTGCATGTAAGCACTTATAATTCAAGGCGAGGCCCTTTTTGCATTGGGAAGATCACTGTCCCTGCATTCGAGTACCGACAAGCAAAGATAGATGAGAAATGAGCAATCAACACTAAAGGGCCTCGACAACGACCACGGCGCAAAGTGCCTGGCGTTACTTGCTTGTTTTACAGTCATCTTACCCCGTGTAACACTGACCTCAAACTTCTCTATTACTGATCACACGATGTTCTTCAGAATAAGGTTGCTGCGATAGGTCTTAATCCAATATTTATGCAAGCGTTGGTGTTACAAACTCCGTATAAAAGAATGATAGGACATGTTTGACTTAACTTGATCTCTGATGACTTAACCCCTCGACCTCAGACATAATTAGGCCTGATATCATTGACGTCGAAATCTATTGCATGTGTAACACAAGCAAGTAACATCTCCCAATTGCCAACAAGTGATCTGCATTGTGAGTTGGCGGGAAACCAGACTGACATGACCTTCATAATTGGGTCATAGGTCATGACGTATTCGGACGAAAGTGCTAAAAATTGACTGGACAGGTTAGGGTACTGAAGTCGGCCACTTCCAAATATCGGAATGATATATTTGAAAGTTATCATGATATCTAGGGAAATCCTCAGGAGAAGGGGCACTATAACCACCTATTTGATATTAGGGCGCGCCTTATAGACAGTAAGCAACAATTTTGACGCTCACTGACGTTCCTGGTTCAATTTGCTGTACCAATCACCTACATAAAATTATATGTTTTCAAAAACAGTGCAACGTCGAGTTTTTGCATGTTTAAACACGCGCCCGGGTGGCCAGCTGGATACCCTTTGTTCGTATAGGGGGTCAATTTGACGCTCCTGAGATCTGGGGAACTAAGAAAGCTAGAGACACTAGATTTGCAGCGTGTGCTTACCTGTACGTGAACTCACTTATGTCAAGGTTTGAGATTCCTAGGACATAACCTTCGGGTTAAATAAGGTCAAACGAGGTCAAATTCCAGGCTGTTCTCTAAAATGCCCCCCGAACCTGGATAACTGTTTCTAAGCCAAATACTACGTGCTCACTCAATGTCAGTGACCTTGTTTGACCTTTTGAAGGTAATGGTGACTTGAACCATACAAGACTGCTCTGAGGATGGCATTTGAATGAGCTACAAGGATTACTCTAGGCAGTATGTTTCTTAAAACAAAATGTTGCCAAAAACATACATTGTCCTGGGTCATTTCAGGTCAATGACCTATTCTGACTTCTAAGAAGTACATGGAAGATGTATAATTCGGTTCCTGCCATCAATAAATTCGAAATTAGCACCAGAAACTATCTCATACAGCAAGCCCTGGAGTAATAAGGCAGGTTGGTTTTGACCATGGGGTGACCTTCATACCTGACCTTAGGTCAACTTAATTTACTCATTTAATATTTGTGTTACCTAAGAAAGCATCTCAGAGATGTATGGCTTCGTCTGACACTGCGCTGTTGCATCAGGTTGAACGATTCCCTAGAAATTGACTTCGCTGAAACCATGGCCTGACTTTGACCTGTTATAGGTCAGCGACATTACAAGGTACATCTAAGTTTTTGATACCAAACGATCCGCTATTTAATTGTCTATAGCTCTATAGTGTGGTTTTGTGTGTCTATAGTGTGGTTTTGTATGACCAAAGCGCTGGCATTGAAAACACCACATCGGATTCGGAACGAAGACTCTGACTTTGACAACGGCATAGCCAATGCGGATATCTGACGGTAGATCAGGCCGGTTAAATTTCAATATAACGTTGTTTGTAGGGATTTGGTCATCACCCCTCATGGTCGTGATCCTGCGCGCCGCGGTGACCCCAAAGATTCTCAGCTTTTCGATGATTTCCTCCTCTCTGACGTCACGAAGTTCATGGCAGTTTATGGTGCCTTTTGAGAAGTTTTTGGTGTGGTGTGGTGTGGCCGTGACTGGCACGTTAATGTCTCGTTTTCCACCCTCGGTTCTCGCGGCATAAACAAATTCAGTGGCTGTCATGGCTCGAGTCGCATCGGTGCCGTTTGCGAACTCCACCTCGATCGTTCCATCTCTCAGCTTGTCACAGTGGATGACTTTCCAACCTGTCGCATCCGTTTCGGCGCTGAAACTGTAAAAGCAATGCTAGGCTCTTCACATCACTCCGGAAGACAAGAACGCGTGGGGCAGGTGGAACCGACTCCTCGCTGAGCCCTAATTTCATTGCAGTCCGTCCCCCTCTTGGGGGCGGGTGTTTTGGGGGTTTATGGATGCCATGCAGTGATATTGTTAATTTCGGCACCGGGGCTCCCCACCCACCTCGGAGCCCAACTGGGGGACGGCCCACTCACCCAGGGGGTGGTGGTGCCGCCAGGGCTACCTCGGTGCTATACGGGGCGAACGACGCCTCCCGCACGGCCAGATGTTAACGGGGAGACCCCTCCCCGTCCTGACCGTGGTTCAGCGTCGCCGCTCTTTGACCCCTTAAGCCGCTGCGCACAGCCAGGCGCCCCAAGCGGAGAACCGCACGGAGCACCCAGCCGCAGCGCCAGCGACAAGCCGCTAGACCCGTGTGGGGCCCCACGGGTCTAGGGAGCCCACGTGCCCGCAGGGCCGCTACGCCCTGAGATGAACAGCTTGCGCTGTCCACCCGTTACCGGAGCTGGGACCCGAGGGGGCGCTAGTCCCTTACACCGGCCAAACCCGGTGCCCCTGCGAAGTCAGGAACGGTGCTCACGATCTAGGAGCAAAACAGACGAGTAAAGGGTTTTGTAGAATTTAGCGATATATTCATAGTTGTCTGTGGTTTTGGCCACATGGCCTCCTAGGCTGACGCGCTGCTTTGTCATTATTGCCCATGCAAGTGTACATACTTTGGTGATTCAAATGGGAGACGAGATTTTAGCATCGACTTCTCTATGGGTTTTACTCTCACTTCGCGTCCAAGTTTAGAACTCAAGTTGAGCATCCGCAAAGCGCACTGGGAACGCCTTCCATCGATCCGACAACTGGGAGCTGGTGGAGCTGATGGCTCTGTATCTAGGCGCAGCGATTCCTGATTTCAAACGTCACAAAGCAAAGAAAAGATCCGGTGCCAGGTTCAAGCAGAGAGCCGTTTTCTACCTGATGACAGAAGTAGACATACCTGTTGTACCTGATTACCTGATATACCTGATTAGTTATACCTGATTATACCTGATGGCGAAGTTTCGGCGGAGGAGAAAGCCGAGGTCGTGGAAGCCCTGCTTTGTATTGACAGGCCTAAGCCAAAGAACAGATAAGCCAAAGCTTTTTGCCTGCTGGACCGGCCGTCATTACCGGCGCAAAGTTCGTTGACAGCTTTAACTTCTGGCCGCAGTACGGCAGCAGGCCTAGCCTGGCAGACCCCGTGGGAGAGGAGACCTGGTTGGTCTCCCACTGCTTAGAGCTTCGAACGCTGGACCAGCTGGACTGGCTGTTGGTGGAGGTCGGTGGCTGGCACATTAAGGGAACGCCAGGGGCACATCTGGTTCAAGGAGTTCGTCGTGAGCTTTACACGCATTGAGCATCCGGCGGAGCAAATTGCCAAGCTAACGAAGGACTTCCTTGGGAGCGCTTGGACCGAGACCGCTCTGCAGAATACATTTGTCACCGTCGCCGACCACAGGAAGAGGGACGGGGCCCATAGACAGGCAACATCACCAAGGGTACCCTCAGGATGATAAGGGAGGGGTAGTCAGGTCAGGCAGTCAGGTAGACTACAGGTAGTCCTGTAGTCAGGTATACAGCTCAAGGCGTCTGTCTTAGATAAATCGCCATGGAAATCCAACATGAACATCTGGATATTGCCGAGCGCTTATTGCACTGTTGTACTGCATCGGTTCCCAAGTCACCCAGACCTAGGTCCAGGAAAGGCACAGGGAGTGGTCGCCTCGCTTTCGGAGCGTTTTTTTAGATCGCCTAGGACCGTCTCTGAGATCCCCGAAAGCCTGGTCTTGTCCGCAGCGGATAACGAATGTATCGCGCGTCGCCGCGCAGGTCCTTGAACCGAATGCCGAATTAATACGAAATTTAAACTGGAGACTGCAACGCTTGAAATGCAGTGACAGCCAAACAGCCGCAGAAACCCGGCATTCATTTTTCTCTGTAGGATTAGACATTTTGTGTTGGTGATCGTTACACCAAAGCCAACTAGGAACCACCGGGTGCAGGTCAGACTCATTTTCGTCTTCTGTGAGGCACGCTTTAATGCCATATATACAAAAATATGTCGGTTTTCTCACATTTCGACACTCGTATTGCATTTACTCGAGTTTCGAAAGCCTATGCTAACGTGGATAAAGCTGGCGAATAATTGCTAAGCATGCCCACAGACGGCTGTTTCGCACTGCTTGCGCTTTCCTTCACCACTGCCAGCGATAAATTCATCATGAATGAATGAAAACCTTAGCAAATATTTGATTTATGGATGTACGCTCCTGCAACAGGTGCAACTACACACATGAAAGAAAGACTGAATGAATAAAACTGAGCCAATGATCGGCAGTGAGTCAGCTCCGCCTAATCAAACAACGTCTCCTGCCCGCGTGAGCAGACTCGGACCATCTACCTGAAGGACGCGCGGAGCTCAGAGGCCGTGCGGGTGGACCTGGAGGTGCTGTGCACGTGCGACTGCGAGGCGCCGGCGGCCACCCGCGCCAACAGCTCCGAATGCAGCGGCGTTGGCAGCCTGCAGTGCGGGGCCTGCGTCTGTCCGAACGACAGGTGACTGGGGCATCAGAGCCACACACGGCTGAGGCGGCGAGTGACCGTGATAGGGAGGGTGTTAAGCTTTCACATAGCCACAACCATAGGCTCAGCCGGGGCTTAACGCCAGGGAGACAATTCACGGCGAGGAAGAGGGTGCAAGTTGATGCTAAGGGCACTGGCAAGTGAATGAATGAATGAATGACCAGTTCATGGTTGGTGAATTTGGGAGGCCAGACAAGTCCATTTAGCGCAACAGTACTGTCGCTGGTGCCAAGGGGAAGGGGCACTGCACTGCTCCAGACGGGTCAATAATTCCTGCCCTGCCCCACTTTTGGCCCGTCCACGATGCGCTATGTCTGATTCCAGCATAATTGTTAATAGAATGTGTTTTCAGGTACCAGGCGGTTGGTGGCTTATGAATTGATGTGTGTTGTCGCTGCCGTGCTCGGCTTTGATGTTTTGTTTTATCTTTTATCACACCGCTTCCGTCTTGTTTGGTGCGAACTGCCGAGCACATTTAACTGCCGGCTGACAGGGCGGGCCTGCGCTGCGACTGCTCGCAGGGTGGGCAGAGCGACACGTGTCGGGCGGAGACGAGACTAGCTGTGCTGTGCGTCCGACAGGGCGGGTCTGCGCTGCGAGTGCTCGCAGGGAGTGCAGAGCGACACGTGTCGGGCGGGGACGAGACTAGCTGTGCTGTGCGTCCGACAGGGCGGGCTTGCGCTGCGAGTGCTCGCAGGGAGTGCAGAGCGACACGTGTCGGGCGGAGACGAGAGTAGCTGTCCTATGCGTCCGACAGGGCGGGCCTGCGCTGCGAGTGCTCGCAGGGAGTGCAGAGCGACACGTGTCGGCCGGCTGGCTCCCCGGACCGCAGGGTCTGCTCCGGCCGTGGGGACTGCATCTGCGGCCAGTGTGTGTGCAGGAGCAGCGACAACCCCGGCCACAAGGTGTCCGGCCGGTTCTGTCAGTGCGATAACTTCTCCTGCGACAGGTGAGTCCACCAGATCAGGTCTTCAGCGGTCGAATAATTGGGTGACGCCGAACCAAGTCAATCAGACGCTCTTGCTTCCTCATGCGACTGGTTAGGAGAGCTTGTGTGCCAACTAGGAGACCATTTATCAATCTCCTTTTTGATGATGAAGCGTATCACGTGCCTTTTTTGCAACTGCTTTCTTAACAGTTTTCAAGACACCCAACACAACAGTTTTTCGGTGAGTTGTTGGGACGGTTTAAGCAGACGCTTGCTTTGACATTATCCCGCAATGCCACATCCACTTATGGCTGTTTATGTGATGCATGCTGGTATAGTCGAGGGTCTTAACGGAGATCCTAAAGAAAACCCACTGTCAAACGAAGCACGATGTGGCATTGTGAGCAGCCTTCAGGCAAAAGAAGCGTTGCGAGACGCTGGCTCAATGGAGCACCAGCTGTCCCCTTAAACAGGTTCCCGTGGCTGCTCAGCTGACGCGGTCTGAGCTACAGGACGCTGCCCTGCCCTGCCCCGCCCTGCCCTTCCCTGCCCTTCCCTGCCCTGCCCTGCCCAGTCCTGCCCAGACCATCCCTGCCCTGCCCTGCCCTGCCCTGCCCTGCCCTGCCCTGCCCAGACCCGCCCTGCCCTGCTTTGCCTCGGCCTGCCTTCCCCTGGCCTGACCTGACCTGACCTGACCTGACAACAGGGCGCCGGACGGCTCGATCTGCGGCGGCGAGGATCGCGGCCTGTGCGAGTGTGACCAGTGCGTATGTCGGCCCGGATGGACGGGCAACGACTGCGCGTGCAGTAACGACACGCGGCTGTGCGCGCCCGTGGACAGCACCAGCGGCCAGGTCTGCAACGGCAAGGGAGACTGCGTCTGCGGCCGGTGCCAGTGCTACACCACCGAACAGGGCAGGTCAGCTGGTCGTAGGGCACGCACGACTGGGGTTAGTGCAGATAGCACTTCGCTGGGGCCTGCAAAGGCTAGCGCAGAGGACCGCCCTAGGCGTGTTTTAATGCGACGTTATGGGTCATTGGTCGCTTGGTTGAGCCATTGCTCACAATACATTAAAGCATTGGCGTCTACATTGACGGTATGAGCTGTTGGGGCTTCGCCACTGGCTGAGCCGGCTGGTGTCCTTATTAGGAAAGATGCATTAGTCTCTTGCTATTATATATATGCGTATTATATATGTATATATATATATATATATATGCGTTAGTCTCTATAAGTAAGATGGAAGGGCTTGGTCTATTGGCCAGGAGCATTCGATTATTCACTGCCTACAGCGGATGTCGTTTTCAAGCTTCGCTTTGCCAAGATTTCCAGACATTCACAATATATCGCTATCTATACATATCCTTCGTTTTCATCTCCGATAGCCATGAATGCTGGCAGCGACTTAATGAGCCCATGCTTGGCTAGTTTTTCCGCGTGCACCAATAACAACCTCATCTTGTTCCACAAGGCTCGTATCGTCGTGTAATGACGTCGGATCACGCCCATTTCCATGTTTGTGTTTGATGCATGCGCGCACTAACAATTTCCGATTTGGGTTAAGCTTTGACAAAGGCGACAAAGAAGCATATCAGTTGTCACAATCGCATGTTTGGTCCTTATCAGCTAGCATCGCCGTTCCTATTCGAGGATGATAAGCAATTCCAGTGGTCCGCGGTACGCTGCTTTGTTGTAGCGCACTGAACCCGATAGTACAGAGCCAACACGTGACTGTGACTTATATCATCAACACGTGACCGTCCGTGACCTTCATCGCGAACACAAAGCTCATCACTGCGTGTGCACAGCACGTGTCGCTTCGGCTGGCGTGCGTGGTGGAGGGGCGTCGGGCTGAGCGGCCGGCGCCGCCCCTGTGCCGCCTCCAGGTACGCCGGCCTGTTCTGCGAGGACTGCCCCACCTGCCGCGGCCTCTGTCTCACCTACCAGCCGTGCGCCCAGTGCCTGCTGCGCACCGGCTCCGTCAGCGCCTCCAGCTGCAACAGCAGCTGCCCCTACGTGCTGACGCTGCAGGACGCTTTAGGTGGGCTGTCGCGGACCGGGACGGTCCTCCCGCGCGTCGGCCGTCACAGTCCGGAACGGTCCTCCCTCGCGTCGGCTGGTCCTCCCGCACGTTGGCTGGTCCTCCCGCGCGCTGGCTGTCACAATCCGGGACGGTCCTCTTGCGTGTCGGCTGTCACGTCCCGGGACGGTCCTCCCGCGCGTCGGCTGGTCCTCCCGCACGTCGGCTGGTCCTCCCGCGCGCTGGTCGTCACACCTCGGGACGCACCTCCCGCCACCGGTGGGGCTGGGTCCAGTCCGGTCGGCTGGATTCGGAAGGAGCTGTTGCCTTGTACGTCAGTCCAAGCGCGTGGGATCGATGTGAACGCGTCAAGAAAACAAACGGCTTCGTCCAAGCCCCCTTTTTTGAACACAGGTCCGGCAGGATAAGTATTTCTTGCCGCACTTTGTAACAATGTTTCGGCAATGCGGGGGAATTGCATGACGGATGTTTGCAAGACGACGTAGTGGCATGGACGCCCATTTCGTCGAGCGTCCAGGTCGCAGCAGCACTGTGAACCGTTAGTCAACGTAAGCGTCACGAACTCTTGATGTCACGATTACCACTTGGTGATGCCTGGTGGGTCCACAGCAGTTCGCGATTAACTTGCTTACGATGGTGTTCGATACGGGAAGTTTCATACGCATGCAGAGGCTACGTAGCAGGTGGCCTGTTTGATCAAGATGACATACAGGCTTCATTCAACAGGAGATCCCGAGAAGGGCACCATTTGCCGGTTTGAGGACGACGTCGACGGCTGTTTCTACAGCTTCCAGTACTATTCGGATGCCGAGGGTCGCGCCATCATAGATGTTCTTCGCAAGAAGGTGGGTATGCTTCTTCTGAACTCCAAACCGTAGACCTTGACCTCAGGTCTGATAGCCGACGTTTGCAGAAAAGGAAGGGAATATAAAATTAAAGTTGCAAACTCTTGATGGCGTTTTGGTACATTTGCGGGGTGAAGTATCAGCCAATCACGAATAGGGAAAACACATCCAAAGGCAGGCAGCAAACCGATTTGATGGGTTAGCTTTTCTGTGGTACTTCCTCTTCGTGATGTGTGAAATGCGAAAAGTCGTGTCCACAGCAACGGTAAAAAAGGGAAACGAGTTTGTAGCATCCCGAAAATTTTCGTCACGCAAAAGTCGTCTATCTCTTAGACCCTGTGTGAGATAGCATGGCCTAGCCTGGCTTAAATGTGTGTGGGGAAGCTCCAAAATGTGGTATGGCGTTAGTATGCTCGCCTTGCTGCATCGAAACCTTTGGCTCAGTTAACATGCTCGCTGAATAATTTCGAAGCGACTGCTCAAGCTGGGCACATGAGAGTGATTTGGGAGCCGCCTGGCATCTGAATGGTTTGAAGGCACCTCATTAAGCTGAATACGTGAGCGAGATTTCCTGGTCACCTGGCTCAGCGAACACCGTCGCAACAGTTCTCCCTCCCCGAGGCAGCTGAGGTGTACTGTAGTGCGTTCCAAGGGTCCGACCGAGCCTCCGCGCATTGCAGGAGTGCTTCGAAGTGGACGTGCTCGCCATAGTGCTGGGCACGGTGGGCAGCGTGCTGCTCGTCGGCCTGCTGACCGTGCTGCTGTGGCGCCTCTTCACCTACCTGAAGGACCGACGCGAGTACGCCCGCTTCGAGCGCGACCTCGGGGACGCGCAGACCAGCAACCTGCAGACCCTGAACGCACTCTACCAAACCCCCGTCACCACTTATGTGGTGCCCAACCGAATGATGAGCACGTTCAGGGACGCAGAATGAGCTGGAAGCGAACACAGAGTGTCGTGCAGTGGACTCCACCGGCCTGCAGTGGAGCTTGTGTCGACTTAGGTCGCTGCGTTGTAGGCTTGGCGAGAGGAGGATGTGCTTGCCCTTGGCGCACATTCCACCAGAGTCGGTGGCGTGCTTCTAATGAGCGCAAACATGCCTGACGCGCCACGCCTTCGCACAGCTGGTTGGGCGAGAATCATATCCTGTTTCGAAAAAGGTGAGAAAGTGCGACATGGTGGTGCTCGGTGTGCTAGGTATGACCGTGCCACATCCGTTCGGGTAGAAGGAAGCTAAGAGTATATTCCCTCTTTTTGAGTCACACTCAGAAGCGGTGTTACGTTTCATTCCTCTCGAGTGTTGAATGGTAGGATTGCTGTCTCCTATGAATATGCATATCCTAACCTAAATTTGGACACAGTTTTCTGCCGCAGCACACTTATTACACCTCAGGCACACTGGGCCGTGTTCACGTCTTGCGAAGTAAATTTCCTGCTCAATCGGATGGGCTGTCACGTGTCGAACACGTGACAGCCGTAGGACGCGGGGTGAGGGGTGACGCCGTTTGCAAACTGAGTAGTTGGAGGTGCTTGTATGAGGCGTGGTGCGCTCTTTTGGGCATTGCATGATTTCATGTATCATCATGGGAAGCTTCATGCATGTAAAAATAAAAAATTAGTCTACACATAATGAGCCCAAATTTTACGTGCCGTTTTAGTTCTACGATGTAGTGCACTGGCAGATACAAAAGGCAGACGAAAGTCATCACGGCTTAAAAAAGCTCCCCCTCGGTTACTTTGTCGCCAAGCGGAGCATAACAAACCATGGCGTTTTCCTCCTACGCTTTGATGTATTCGGACACTTTCGAATCGAATACAGTATCGGAGACAATCGAAAAAAACGAGACTGACGAGAAAATCGTGATGCTATTAAAGCCACAGCATTCATGCGAAACAGGTTGTCGGAAAAAGTTTTCCTAATGTAAAACATGTATTGGACGTTGCACTGCGAGCATTACCCTGTATTATATCGGACAGAAAACATCGGTTTACCACATCACCAAAAAGAACACAAAGTGTGGCGCATGCGTCTCGAGATCAGCCGGGCTAGCTGGGGGCGAAACATTCTGCGACTTCTGTGGGAAGGAGGGCATGGTCGGAGGACAGACCGGAGGACTGAACTGATGTGCACACAGGGGCGGGCGAAAACCGGGCGGCGTGATGGTACACCCGTCACCATCCCATAGATTATCAGCCAGCGTCCCCAGCCAAGCATCAGTGGGAGGAATGACCGTGTCCTGAGGAGGAAGAGGGGAGTGACGCGCCGTATAAAGGAGAGTGATCGTGCCGTGAGCAGTGGGGGAGGGGGGGGGGGGAGTGGCCGTGTCGTCGCCGCGACACCCGGCTTACCAAGAGGGACCCGATCACCCCGAAGTCGTTTCGGCCGGTGACGCGCGCCTCGCCAGCGAGCCGCCTCCACGACCGACAATGAGATGTTACTATCACGGCGCGTCCCGAGAGCGGGGCAGACAGCAAGATCCATGCGACCTTTGCAGCCAGTGTAAATAACACGGCACTGCCATGTTCATCTCAGACCAGAGGAAGAAAGGGCGTTGGTAAAGGTCAGAAGCTGACGTGGTCTTGGAATGTACATCTTGGTTAGATCATTTCCTCAGTGATTCCTTAAATAATTTATGCGAACTCCTCTGAAACCCAATTTATTACTAGGGCGTACTTTCCGAGTAGAAAGTATTCACACATGGCTGACAACGGGCACTGCTCAGCAGAGCTCTGATCCTTGAAATCATTACATTCAGAATTTACTGCTTGGATCTTCTAAAATGTGCCTTGCAGATGAATCGGATTCAACCAAATCGTACTTCTGCATACCGGCATATAAGCTATTCAAATATGACCCAGCAAAAATTACCCATATTTTCACATTTTCCATTTTGTCAGCACAGTTGCCCAATCCAAGAGGCCGCTGCGTAACAGCGAACGAATGCTTTAGACTCGCATTGAGCGTCCTTTTGTCTTTTTGGCGGGCTTCCATAAGGATCTGGAAGTTGATCTGGTCGTCTGTTACTGGACAACACTGATCAGTGTTGTCGTATTGGGACCCCTCAGGATTCTGTTTAAAGAAGCTTCGATATGGTCCCGGTTGACGAAGAAGCTCTTCCGGACGATGCCATTAGACATTACATGTACGTCTGATATATGGATGACATCTTGACGGACAACAAAGACGAGAGAACACGTTGAGAGCCTAACTAGAACCCGCGATTGGGCCGCAGATTTACCATAAAGAAGACATTCCAGGAAATAGTTATTAGGGTTCTGGATGTCTCAGTTAACGCTTCCGACAACACTCGTTTAACCAACGTCTATCTGACGCTGGCCTGACGTCGGCAAATGTGTAAACAGAGAGAGAGAGAAAGAGAGAGAGAGAGAGAGGGAGAGGAGAGAGAGAGAGAGAGAGAGAGAGAGAGAGAGAGAGAGAGAGAGGAGAGAGAGAGAGAGAGAGAGAGAGAGAGAGAGAGAGAGAGAGAGAGAGAGAGAGAGAGAGAGAGAGAGCGGGTGTTCGAAAAACCAACACAACATGAGGTGACGCCCACGTTGTGCGAACGCATTCTTCGCCACGGAGCCTCGTGCACAAGGAGCTGAAGACGGAACAGGAAATCCTAGCTAGCAATGTCTACAACGTTTGTAACAATTAAGGAGGATCTAATCCATCAAACTGTGCCACAGTTCCTAAAGTGAAAATCACGAACAGGAGACCTGAACAACTTTAACCCGTTCCCTAAAAAGATGATGTTCCCAGTTAGTTACGTTAGTTACGTTAGTTACGTTACGTTAGTTACGTTTACGTTCCGTTAGTTACGTTAGTTACGTTTAGTTACGTTCCAGACAGTTACGACGATGGCAGAAGACAGATGAGAAAGCACTGCACAATAGTGTCCCTCCCAACCGCCAAAAGACCCAAATATCAAACTTAATATATATTACCAAACTTCCACAGCATCCTCTCTCGTCATGTAACACTCTGCCTGGCTCGGCTCCACTCAAAATAAAAGTCCTATCTCGCTGGAAACTGATGAAAAAAGTTTAGGATGTTGTGCGTTCCACTGAAAACACATTCCGGGTGCCTGACCACGCGCCTGCAAAACAACGGTCCCTCCCCCCCCCCCCCCCCACCAACCATTCAGCCCACACAGTACCCCAACACAAAACCCGCCTGACGCCCCAAATGCTCGGGAATGCGAATATAGCACGCGTATAACGCGAAAACCTATCTTTCTTGGTTAGTATTTAGCATTCGCACGTCCTTGTTTTCCCTGAAGTGCTTCATGCTGAAAAGCTTCGACAATATCGGGTGGAAATGGCCTTAACACGTGCTCGTGTGGGGGGTAAATTTGAGCCCCCCAAATTTTTTTCAGGACATTTCACAAAAGACGTGGCGTAGCCGAGGCAAGCCTAGAATATCTGCAAGAAACTGAATAGTGGATCCTTAGGTGTAAAAGATAAGATGCATGTTGTACGGTCCCCGATCTATGGTGGGCCAGAATCAGACCGTGCCTGTCAGCGAAGATAATTTATACGGAATCGTTAAATCTGGTGCGACATTGACGCCTTAGACAAAGTCATGCATTCCTGAGATGGTTTCTTAAATACGCGGACAATATGATTTGGGATAACAAAAAATTCCGTCGGCCTTCGCTCAGATGTACAGGTCGGATCGGGACCAGAGCTAAGCTGCTTTTTTACTGGAGAGCGTGCTTTATGAGGCAGCTTCCGATGCTCATTTCTATTCTCTTGATGACGGGGACCGCAACTGACCTCTTACATGGACTTCTTGAAGGTCAGATTAGATCACTGACCTAAAATGAACCAGATCAACACCTTGTTTTTAGGAATACATTTCCTGGCGCAATCATTGCCCTCCATTCGAATTCCAAAATCTAAACAACCTGGCTAACTTATTACACACCAGGACTTTCTCAAGGTCAAACACGGCTACTGACCCAAAATTAATACCAGTTTCCTTTTTCTTAAAACAATTATATAGGCTCAAGGCTGCTGTACGTGGAGCTCCGGGAGCTCCGGGAGCTCGAGTTTGGAAATTGACCTTGTTTTACCTTATCTAACCCGAAGATCATGACCTAGAGCCTAAAATTTTGACACAAGCCAGTTCGCACACAAGCTGATCCACCCTGTAAATTTAGTTCCGCTAGCTCTCTTAATTTTAGAGACTTTGATAGGGTCAACTTGACCCCATCCGAGCGTGTGGTACTCGACCGGCCACCCGGGCGCACCCGGGCGCGTGTCAACTACCGGTATATGCATATTGTACGTGTCCGCACTTCATGGTTTTACAACGGTTATGTGAAGAGTACAGCTTTCTGCGTCTCCTCTCACAGCACAATGCATTGTTTTAAATGCTGTAAGGAATAAGAACAGTGCACAAAATATGAAACCTCGCTGATTATCTATTTCGTCTACAGTTGCACCTTGCGTAATAGAACAGCGCAGGAGTGGACCGTGTATTACAGATGCATTAGTACAGCCAGGCAGTATGATCGCTAAATATTACAGCTAGGCGAATCCGATGTTTGGTGCAAAACTAAACCCCTGCCGCTACACAGCATGCCAAAACAATATCAGAGCACCGAAACTGATAAGCGGTCAGCTGCCGCAAGCACATCATCATATAAGTAAATAATGACAGTGATAGTGATGCATTACGAGCAATGGTAGGATTATCAATCAAAAGTTAGGTCACAACAGAATGAGACGCCACAATGAGGTTGATGAGCGCTAACGGCTCGCTTGACGTCAAGTCGCTCAGCCCACACTGGAACCAGCGACGGTAGTGACGGCGGCGCTCAGCCCACACTGGAACCAGCGACAGTAGTGACGGCGGCGCTCAGCACACACTGGAACCAGCAACAGTAGTGACGGCGGCGCTCAGCGCACAGCCCACACTGGAACCAGCGACAGTAGTGACGGAGGCGCTCAGCCCACACTGGAACCAGCGACAGTTGTGACGGAGGCGCTCAGCACACACTGGAACCAGCGACAGTTGTGACGGCGGCGCTCAATTTTCGCTGAATGAAGCACCTTCATCAACATGATTGCTGCTTCAGCGTACGCATTAAAGGCAGCAACGCTGCTCCTCTACCAAGCGCGGCCGCCGACGTCATTACCCGCATCCACGAATTTGCCTAGCAGACGTCACACTCCCTGTAACTTTGGAACATCAACAGAGCACATGAAGACAGTCAGCTGTGGTGCCAGTTCTGCGTTAAAAAATGACGACTCTAAATGTCAGCTGAGTTGTTTTGTGTGCGCTGTGGAGCGTGTTCATCGTGCACCATCTTGCGGTCTGGAACCGAATACACTCATTGTATTCGTTTACGAACGTCAAGACTGTTCATCCAGGCTGTCGTGGTGCGTTCGCAGCGCGGCTGTGTCGTCCGGCTGTTTTCTGGCGACGGCGCGGGTCGTGAACCGATGCCTTTGTCCGTGTGATGGCGCTGTCGGTGCTGTTTCGTTCCGCGAACCATGCTCTTATGGTTGGCTTGTAGAGGAGAATGGTTTCCAAATATGGCAGCAGAGGCCAAATTGGCCATTTCCTTCCCGATCCGTTGGCGGTATTGTGTCTGTATGGGGAGTCGGGACGGAATGTTTGATGACAGAGGTCATTGAACTGCGGGCGTGCAGCACGGCACTACTGAAGATACGACCGGAAATACAGCAGCGGGATGGGAGGTTGTCGTAGTCCAGCGCTGTTTAAACGCACACTGTCTGTGCTGTGAACTACACTTTTAAGTTGGTTAGCAGCTTGATGTGCTGGTCACGGGGTTCCAAGACATGGTATGCAAATGACGACTTAGTGCACCCATGCTGTCGCAACTCCATATTTTGTCCTAAAATCCGTTCGGAGAA